TACTGCTGCCATAGTCTCGGGGCCTGTTTGATGCCGTACAATGACTTCAGCAGCTGACAGACGCGATTAGGTTCTCCGTTGGAGCCACTTGGTAGTTCGACGAAGATTTCTGCGTCGACAGGTGCGTAGAGGAATGCGTTGGCGACATCAATTTGCCGTGGTTTCTTCTTCTTCATGGCGGCGATCGTGAGGAGAATTTGCAGCGAGGTGTGTCGGCTGATCGGGGCGAATGTCTCTGTGAAGTCGCGTCCGTGCTCTTGGTCGAAGCCGCGTACAACCCAGCGCGCTTTAAACTTGTCGATGGTGCCGTCTGCCTTTGTCTTCACACGGAAGACCCATTTCACGGTGAGTACTGTCTTGCATCGTGCCACGCCGATGGGAACAACTTTCTAGGTGTTCCGTTCTTCCAGTGCTTTTAGCTCCTTGTCCATGGTTTCGCGCCATTTTTCCATATGCTCCCCCCCCACAGCCTGCTGAACAGTGGCAGGCTCCTTAGGAAGCGCGACGCCGTGGACCGCGGTGACGAGGCCGAGTATCTGAAGGCCACTCTGTGTGTAGCGGGGGAGTGTTGTGTCCGCGGGATAAGCTTCTTCGTCACCTGCTTCTGGGTCAGGTATGAAGTTGGGCCCTATGCGTTCTGCTTCGTTGGTGTTGACTTCTGCAGGTGTAACGTAACCGTTGTCGGCGAAGTGGTAAAATACTTCGGCGTTGGCGCTTTCGCAAGGATTTTCGTCATCCATTGGGACGTCGACGGGGCAGTAAGGGAGAGGTCCGGCTTCCTTCGAGGCTTCATCCACGTTTTGCTCGTCCCAGTCAGCTTCGTTTGCTGCTGAGGCGAAGGCTCGGTCACCACGGAAGCCACCTGTGGGGTCCCGATCTTCTTCCAGGTTGGCAAGGTATGTCGGAAGGGTGAGTCGTTTGTAGAAAATGACATCACGTGCTGCTACTGTTTCCACGCGTTGTAATTTCTTGGGGTGGACGTTGAAAATCTTCCACGCGTTGTAATTTCTTTCGATGCCCAGGTGTAGTCCCCACTGTGCGCGTTGGGAAAATCGGCCGGCTCGTGCAGATGGGGGTCGGTACTGTACCATGCACCCGAAAACTCTTAACATTTTTGTGCTGCCCTGTTTTCCTGTCCACAACAGATGCAGTGATGCGTTGTTCGGGAGCGATGATGACGAGAGCAAGTTGTGCAGCATGACAGCGTGGTCCATTGGTTCGGGCCACTGGTGGTTGGGCAGTCGCATGCCTCGTAGCACTTTGCGCATGGTGTTCTGGAGAATCCTGTTCATCCTTTCTGCTACGCCTTGTTGCTGGTGAGCGTAGGGAAGGGAGATGAGCCTCTTGATCCCTCTTTCTGCCAAGTACTGCTTGAACCTCTTTGCGGTGTATTCTCCTCCTCCGTCTGACTAGAAGCTTTTTAGCTTCACGCCCGATTCTCGTTCTGCTACTGGGAGCCAAGCGACGAAGGCCTCAAAGGCCATGTCCTTGCTCGGTAGGTTGAGGTGCCAAATGTAACGCGTAGCGACATCGATGAACGTGATGGTGTAGCAGTATGCTCCTTGTCCAGGTTCGCGGTTGTACAGGATGTCGCTGTACACTTTCTCAAGTGGTGCGTAAGCTGGTGCGCTGGGATTGTGGTGAGAAGCGAATGGCCGATGTGGTAAGTCAGCTTCGGGGCACGTAAAGAACGTTCCACGAGCTCGTTGAAGTTCGCTTCCGTTGGTTAGGAGCAGTGAATCTTTATCGAGCACGCCTGCTCTGATTGTGTTGTTTAACACCGTGTTGCTTGGGTGTCCCATTCGTGCGTGCCAGATGTCTTCGCCATCTCGATGTCCGGGTGAGCGACGGTATAAGTCGGAGTTGGAGTAGAAGCTAGCGGTGAAGTTTGCACTTCGATGTACTTCTCGTGGTGTTGGGTTCAGATGCTGCGCAGGAGTGGGTGGAGTGTCATCGTCGATTGGAGCCGGTGCAATTGAAGGACCCGCGATTGGTGTCGATGTTGTTTCTACTGCTGCCGATGTTGTCTCTGCTGCTGCCAATGTTGTTTCTACTGCTGCCAATGTTGTCTCTGCTGCTGCCGATTGTTGAATCGTTGCTAATGCTCTTGTTCGTTCTGCCTCAGGAATGGTGTGCGAGTACCAGAAGCCTTCGGGACTGAAGTTGGGGTCGAGATCCGGTGGATGTGTCCAGGAGGTGAAGGTGACGATCCCGTCGCTGTCAGCAGCGCCAAGATCTGGGACAAAGTCGAGGACGAAGACGTTATTCTTCAGGACCGCCTTCCCGATGTAGAGACCGCACTTCCCGTCGTATAACTTAAATTCATGTGTTGTGCTATCTGCTTCGAGGTGGATGCCTTTCGCCATCAGTTGACTGACACTCAGTAAGTTCTAGCCGAGTCCCTCTGCAATTAATACTTTTGACATTTGCAGTATCACGTTTGTCTCTCGTGACTGAAGTTGCACCACACCTTGTCGTCGTGTGCGCAGTTTCTGGTTGTTGGCGACGGTGATGACGACTTCGCGTTGAAGTTGGTGTTCGCGCTGAACAAAACGTGCTGAAGAGCACATGTGCTGTCCCCAGCAACTGTCCAAGAACCACGTATCTTTCCCGGACGGCTCGCTTTGAGCGATGGCTGCATACGTCGGATTAGGTTGAAGTGACTCGCGGCGAGGCGTGCTGTTGTCGAGTTGCTCTTCCGGTGAGTAATGCAGTGGTGACTCTGTGATGCAGGAGTCGGTCAGCCGTGCCATGCAACTGACGATGTTTCTTGTTCCTTGTGCAGGTTGTCCTGTCGATGTTGTTGAGGCTTGCACTTGAGTGGTTGGATTCGCTTGCGTTGAGGCGACTTGACTGCTTGAAGGGCGAAGCGGCCGCTGCGTTGGCGTTGACTGGTGCCGGTTTGGGCAGTGTGTACGGGGGTGACCTGACGTCTTACAAAGGTGACAAAACGGAGGTACTGGTTTCGGTTGATGCCGATTGTTGTTGTTGTAGCGCCGTTGAGTGTGGAATGCGAATTCGGGCACTGATGCCTTCCTCTTGTGTTGTTCTTCTTGCAGGTCCATATCTTGCTGCTCAGCGTGGATCTTGGCGCAGAGTGTTGCTTCTGATATTTTTCCGTGAGCTCGGAGTATGGCGCGAGTGGAGCGCCACTGAGGACCGAGGCCGGCAATGATGACTGTGACGAAGGCGTCTTCTGAAATCGACCCTCCGCATCGAAGGAGTTTGTCGCGCAATTCGCGACAGCGGCTGATATACGCCATCCCCTTTTCGCCTGGTTTCATTTCGACTGTTGTCAGTTGTGCCATTAACCGACTTTGATTGACGCTGTCTGTTGCTTGATACAGGTTCTTCAGGTGGTTGTACGCGAGCTCTGCAGAGTTGCCGTATCCCCGGTAAGACCGTATATTCTGCTGCTGATTCGGAGTGATGTTTCTCAGTAGTATTGTGTACGCCATCATTGACTGATACGTGTACTATTGCTTGTCGTACTGAGTGCCGTGTGTTGGGTATGGCAGGGACCCGTCGAAGAAGCCAAGAATCTGCGCGCCTTCCATCATCAGCTCGAACTCGAATGACCAAGTAAAGAAGTCCTTTCCGTCGAAAGGCTTTGTCGTTTGCAGTTTTAAGACGTGCGCAAACTGCGACTGAACTTGAAGTGCGTCCAGTGTCTTCTCTTGTCCAGGTGCAGGCTGGGGGTGTGGCATAAAGCTGATGGAGCCGCGCTGGGGCTTGTACGGAGTGAAGGTAGGCTGTTGCCGTTGATTTTCACGCGCGTAAGACGAGCCATCGAGACTCATGGGTGTCACGTCGTTGTTGTTGTTCCTGTTGTTTGACTGCGCAGGTACCCCTTGCTGGTGTCGTTCGTAGAAGGACATGAAGGAGAAGAACTTCTCCATCATGCTTGGGTCGAAGCCCGCGGCTTGGTTTGCGGGAGTTTCGATAGATGTTGCCCTTGGTCTTGTTGCCGTACCCTCCTCTGTCTGTAGGCTAGAGGCAGGAGGTGGAGTAGGAGTAGTACCGGGAGAGCCGTTAGAGGAGCTTCTCTCCTTCTGCGTTGCCATGCCTTGTGACGTTGTGGGTGTCTTGATTGTAGTTAAATTTGTCCTGATAGCTCGCATACCATGTTGGGCTGAGAAAAAGCCCTTAGGATCTTTGCAGGACTAAATTCCTTGTAGACTGATGTAATAGCGGAAGCGTTTAATAAAAGGTTGTGAACCACCTTGCGCTGGTATGTGAGGGCAAAGTAGATTAATTAAAGCAAAGAGATGCAATCTTTTATAAGAGTACAAGGGAATATGAAGAGATGCAGTTAATAACCGTTTTACTATTGTTGTTGCGGTTCGATACAGTGACGACTCGGGCAACTGCTCAATAGCGATTCAGTTGTTTGTCCTTGCTGTCGTGCTGTACTTTGTCAGGTCAAAGGTCGCTGACCTTCGACTTTCGCGTAACCTCCAGCAGTTGCTCAACCTCCGACGGTTGACTCGCTGATGCTTCGATATGTTTCGCTTCGCTTCTGACTTGGTGTTTCGACACGACAGAGGCGCTTAAGTTACTTGTTTCCAACAACTTCCACCAGTGCAAGCAGGAAACACAGACCAGGGGAAGGTGGACAGGGACAATGGCTAACACATGAAGTAAACCACACTGTTCGGGCATGTGCCTGCAACAGGAACCCCTTGAATGCAAAGCTTCTATACCATATATTGATCAAGCAGGGTTAAGAGAACTCGCAGCAGGCGGGAGCAGGCGGAGGGGGGCGTGAAGGTCCCAGACATGAAATTTACCATGTTGCCCCTTCTTGACTGACTGTACTGGAGGGGGCCCTGGTTGCAATGCTTCACACCATGTGTGCTCCTAATCAAGAAGGGCCAGCAGAATGCGCAGCAATTGAGAGCAGGTGGAGGGGGGCATGAATGGCCCGCACATGAAATAGACCACGTTGTCTAGCAGTTGTGACAGGTGCCCCTTGTATGTGATATGCTAGTCTCTACATGCTAATCAAGCAGTGCTAGGAGGATGCGCAGCAGACGGGAGCATGTGGAGGCGGGCGTGAAGGGCCCACACATGAAATAAACCACATTGCCCAGAGGCCGTGCGTATATGCCGTGCTGCCGCAGCCGTGATAAGAGCCCTTTGGCTGCTGACGAGCCGTACCTGTGGTGGGGCGCGAAGAGAGAATAGAGGGAACGAGTGCGTTGGAATGATTGAAGAATAACTCAAACTGAGTAAACGCCACCCCCCGCATTATACCGTTGACCAGCATACCACCAGTCCCAGAATAAACCAAGGCACTCACCCTGCACCATCAGTCCTGAGCTCTGCCACAAAGACTGATCCTATTAACGAGGCTCTTTTGAGAAGTCTCAAAAGTCATACAAGCATTCCCGCAATCACTCACCCTGCACCATCAGTCCTGAGCTCTGCCACAAAGACTCTTCCTACAGCCAGCGTCTCAAACGTCATACAAGCATTCCCGAAACCCACTCACCCTGCGGCGTCAGTCTTGAGCTCTGCTACAAAGACTGTTCCTATTGGAAGCACGCGCTGTATCAAGGGGTGGCAGGAGATTTTCTCCACTAACGAGGGGTCCCACAACTGCAGGGCGGTGTGAGAGAGAGGGAATGTGGGAGAGAGGGAATGTGGGAGAGAGAGGGAATGTGGGAGAGAGAGGGAATGTGGGAGAGAGAGGGAATGTGGGAGAGAGAGGCCATATGGGTGAAAGGGGAGCAGAGACAGAACGGTGCCTGGTTGAGCAACCTATAGCCAGCACACTTTGTATTGAGGGGTCACAGAAGACCTGCTCCTTGAGTGAGGAGCCCCACAATTGCTAGAGGGGATGGGAGAGAGGATGACAGAGACACAGAAGGTTGGGTGGTCCGCAAAACGAGCTGACTTTTGAGTCGACTCAAAAGTCAGCTCGTTTGCAAAACGCCCAGTTCCAACTGGGCACATCAGGATTCGTAGGTGTGTTGGGATGGATTGCAGTCAGCCTAAGAACAGATTGTTTGAGGCCTTTGAAAAATCATGTAGGCATGTGGAGAAAATACCATTGTAGTCTTTCCAAGAACGGATTCAGTACAATCTTATGATGCCAACATGTACAATGCTTGCTCGGGGCAGTGAGCCGCGCAACGTGCTAAGTACATTGCTTGAAGGACAGGGCATCGTAGGGGCTAAGCACCTCGTTCAGCTGAGAGCCGTCCAGAAGGAAGTTGGGTCTGAAAACGCCAGCCGCTTTGTTTGAGTCACCAAAATGAAAAAAAAAGGGTTAAGTACCTCTTTTAGCTGAGAGCCGTCAGGAAGCAGGTTGGGGTTTCGAGCTGGGTCTGACAGCGCCTTGAGAGAAACACAGGCCGCTGCACAGCCCGCAGGATGGGCTGTGTAGGAGTGACCATGCAAGAGGGCATCAAGCTTGGAGGAAATAAGGGAGAAATGGGGAAAATGGAAGGGGAGAATCAGTGGATTGCAAATGAAGGGTTAAGAGAAACACAGGCCGCTGCACAGCCGGTTGGATGGGCTGTGTAGGAGTGGCCGTGCAAGAGAGCATCGAGCTGAAATGAAGTTAGGGCGAGAATGGGGAGGAAGGGGAGAAAGAAGGAGGAGAAACGGTGAAGGAAAGGGAATGAAGCATTCAGCACCACAGGGGCCGCAGCACAGTGGTGCAGGATGGGCAGTGTAGGAGTGGCCGTGCAAGAGAGCATTAAGCTGGGAAGAACGAGGGAGAGAAGAGGCAGATGCAAGTGAGGGGAGGAGGGGGAAGGAAGCGTTGGGAGACAGATTGACAGGCTGACAGGTTGGCGTTGGGGAGGTTCTGGCAGGAGATTCCACTTTAAAGCAGTTTCGTTAAGGATATAAATACCTTGGAGGAGCCATGGAAGGAAGCGTTGAGAGACAGATTGACAGGCTGACAGGCTGGCGTTAGGGGTTTTGGCGTTTTGACAGAAAAATACCAGTTAAAAGCAGAGTCGTTTAGAAATTACCTTGGAGGAGCCATAGAAGGCATCAAAGACAGAGGACGAGGCAAGCGTGACGGCCAATGGGATCATGCCACCTGTCAGCAGCTTGGCGTAGCAGGCAATGTCCGGGGAACAGGCCAGCAGCTCCGCTGCTGACTGGGAGAGGGGAGAAGGGGGAAGGGGAGAAGAGAGAATGGAGAAGGGAGAAGCGGAAAGATAGTGGGAGGGAGAAGTGGAATGAGTGAAAAGGAAAGGAGATTAGGGATTGACAACGGGAAGGCAGAAGGTACTTAAGTTGGCTTATGAAACTTCAGATATGTCAGCAGAGGGGCACGGAGGAAGGTGGGAGGGAGGCAACAATGGAAGCTCAACTAGACGTCCCTCACTGAAAGCCCACTTGGGAGTCCCCCATTTGAAAGCCCTCCCCACATACCACTTTCAATCGAAACTCACCTGGGTGCCAAGACGCCAGCAGCCAGCAAAGACCTCGTCTAAGATGACTGGGATGGCGTGGGCACGGCAGGAACGACATGCTGCCGCCCTCCACCCCTCTGCACCACTGTACATACCAGCAATACCTGACGCCCACCTGGGTGCCAAGGCGCCAGCAGCCAGCAAAGACCTCGTCTAAGATGACTGGGATGGCGTGGGCGCGGCAGGAACGACATGCTGCCGCCCTCCATCCCTCTGCACCACTGTACATACCAGCAATACCTGACGCCCACCTGGGTGCCAAGGCGCCAGCAGCCAGCAAAGACCTCGTCTAAGATGACTGGGATGGCGTGGGCGCGGCAGGAACGACATGCTGCTGCCCTCCACCCCTCTGCACCACTGTACATACCAGCAATACCTGACGCCCACCTGGGTGCCAAGGCGCCAGCAGCCAGCAAAGACCTCGTCTAAGATGACTGGGATGGCGTGGGCGCGGCAGAAGGAGACACACGTGCCACCCTCCAACCCCCAGCACCGTTCAACACAGCACACGAGCACTCAAACCTCACCTGGTGGCCAAGTCGCCAGCAGCCGGCAAAGACCTCGTCAAAGATGACTGGGATGGCGTGGGTGCGGCAAAAGGAGACGAGCGTGCGCTGGAAGAGCGGGTCGATCATGACCATGCCGCCCGCCCCGTGCAGCACTGTTAGCAACGCAAGAAGTGGGCGAATGCAGGGGAGGGGGGAGGGATGGAAAAAGGGGTGAGAAGGGTTCTCAAGAGACGATGCTGGAAGAGCAGGTCGATCATGACCATGCCGCCCGCCCCGTGCAGCACTGCGGCAGGCAGTACGAGAATACAGGTGAGGGGGTAGGCGGGGACGGGAAAGGGGAAGGTTGGGAAAGGAGAAGGAGACGAGCGTGCGCTGGAAGAGCGGGTCGATTATCACCATACCACCTGCCCTGTGCAGCACTGCGGGAGTGTGGGGACAGCAAGGGATGGGGGAATGGGATGGGGGAATGGAATGGGGAAGGATGGAGGGGTTCTAAAGCTCCTTAAGAGACGAGGGAGTGCTGGAAGAGAGGGTTGATCATGACCATGCCGCCCGCCCCGTGCAGCACTGCGGCATGTGGGATTAGCAGCAGGGCAGGAGGGTGTGGTGGTGTGGGGAGAGGGTCTTGACGCTGTAGCAGACGTGCCTCAAGAGACGAGCGTGCGCTGGAAGAGAGGGTTGATCATGACCATGCCGCCCGCCCCGTGCAGCACTGCGGCAGGCAGTACGAGAATACAGGGGAGGGGGTATGCGGGGACGGGAAAGGGGAAGGTTGGGAAAGGAGAAGGAGACGAGCGTGCGTTGGAAGAGCGGGTCGATCATGACCATGCCTCCTGCCCCGTGCAGCACTGTAGGCGTGTGGGAGAAGGCGGGGGAGGGGAAAGGGCAGGAAGGAAAGAATTGATGTGGTGGTGGAGGGGAGGGACCTGAAGCGCCTGAAGAGATAAGTCAACTCAAGAATAGACAAGTGTGCGCTGGAAGAGCGGGTCGATCGTCACCATGCCGCCTGCGCCGTGCAGCACTGCGGGAGTGTGCCAATGCAGGGGAAGGGCAAGGGGTGGGGGGGGGTTGGAAAGGGTTCCAAATCGCCTCAAGTAGTGGAGCCTACCAATGCACTGCACACATGTACAAATACCGACTTTAGAATTTAGAGGAAACCTGCGTACGCACCTGGTTCAGGTGATGAGCGCTGCGGCCATGGCACCTGAAAAACCACCCGAAGGGCCACCTGAGGAGGAGTCTCGGATTTAGGGTAAACTTCATACGCACCTGGTTCGATGATAAGTGCAGCGGCCATGGCACCTGAGGGGCCACCTGAGGAGGAGTCTGAGGGGAGGAGGAAGGGCTGGAGGTGGTGGTGCATGTATTGATGGTAGATGGAGGCGAGAGGGGAGGAGTCCCTTTCACTGTGGAAGACTGCTGTTCGTGATTGGAAGGAGAGGTGGGTGGTGGGAGGGGTGGTGGAGGAGGAGGAGAGTGAGGGGGGCAGGACGACAAGCCATTGACCTTGGGAGTACTCCACTGTTGGCGGGTCAAGGAACATGCCCTTGCCTCCGTACCTGTGGGGTGGGGTGTGACATGAGAGAAACAGAGTACGTTTTTACTTATTTGTCTCAGCACGTGAACAAATGACTACTTGTGGTGGAAATTTACGCGTACATTTTAACAATGTCAAGGGACTGAGCAGAAAAACACACCATCATTTAATCAGTGGTATTCTCACCCTACACCACCATGGAAAAAGGAAAACCATAACACAGTTTTCCTTCGTCGACCTAGCATTCACGTTGGCTGCTGACGTGGCACCCACCATAACTGCTGCTGATGTGGCACTCACTCACCATGGCTGCTGCTGGAAGGAGGTGTACGGGGAGGGTGACTGGGCATGCATGGCTGCCAGCGTGTCACCATGGTACGAACCAGTCAGGGCAATCACCTGGTGACACGTGGCATGACAAGGAAAACGAAGGGCCAGAGTGAAATAGGGCTTTACTACAAGACATGAGGCTTGGGCATGCCATGACAGTTTGGCTCACTAGAGGTCTACTGAGGCATACAATCATGCCATGTCAGCACGTATGGCACATGCTGAGATGAGCATGGGAAGCGCCTGAAAACGGATGAGCACTCATGCCACTGTTCGGCAGTCAACTCAGAATGGTCCAAAAAAGTCACCATGCGCCGCACCTCAAGAACTCGACTCAAAATTCACCTCCATGGAATGCAAGTCAATGCACCTGTAGAAGACTTTCGACTTGACTCAACAGTCACCTCAGTAAGACCCACCTTGAGATCTGCAAGACCATCCGATCCCACGCCGTTTCGCGCGCAGAAGGAGCGGAATGCCATCTTGAGCGCCACCTCGATGGCTGTGGAGCCGTTGTCTGAGAAAAACACCCGCGAGGCCCATCCTGTGCGGTGATGTGCGGTGGAGTGGGGTGGTGTGAGGTGAGATGGGGTGCAAGGGGGTGGAATTGGAATTATGTTCGTCCACATGAGCTAGCCATTCCAGACCCACCCCTAACGCCATTGCAGAAAACGTGTCGTGTGCCACTGTAACAGGGTGACTTTGGAGTCGACTCAAAAGTCACATCAGCCATCCCAGTCCCACCCCCAACGCCATTTCTGAGTGCAGAAGCAGCGGAAGGCCATCTTGAGAGCAGCCTCGATGCCTCGAGCTTAAGCATCCCCTCACCCTCTTTACCTTTCCCAACGCCCTTCAGCAGCAGTTCAGCAGCACCTCCAGAGCCAGTGCATGGGTGTTCTCAGGGAACATGACGTGCCCGTATCGAGCCATGGCCGCCCCTATCTCCCTCGATAGCTCCGCCTGCAGTGCAGAGCTGGGGACCTGGGTCCACAAACACCAAATACCCCATGAATACCGTTCCCAACCCCGTCCTACCTTTCCCAACGCCCTTCAGCAGCAGTTCAGCAGCCTCCAAAGCCAGAGCATGGGCATTCTCAGGGAACATGACATGCCCGTATCGGGCCATGGCCGCCCCTATCTCTCTTGATAGCTCCGCCTGCAACACAGGGCCCAGCCCCTGGGTCCACCAGCTCGCACACCCATCAAACCACTCCTCCAACCGAGCCTCTTCCCGAACCTCCCTCCGAGGCTCGGCCTGAGCCTCCGACAGGTTTTCACACTGACTGCTGTGCGAAGCCTCGGTAGGGGTGTCAGGCTGTGTTTCTATTTGAAGCTCGGTCTGGTTTGGTCGGAAGACGGAGAAGTTTTCGCCTGCCCGGGAATCGATGACTGTCACATCTTTCACCCCCACCATGCCATGCTGGGTGAACGGCCACCAGAGAATTTCATGTGCCCGTTCAGCTGCCCGTTCAAGTGCCTGCAACCTCTCCCCATGGTACTGTTCCAACACCAGCAAAAGGTCCTGGAAGCTTCCTTCCGATTTGCCGAGCCAGTCGATGAGGTTCGGGTTGAGTGTGGAGTAAGAGGAGGATTGAAACGAGTTCGTGGGGCTTGAGGAGGGAGAGAAGGTGAGAGAGGGTGAGCTTGATTCAGATACGGGTGGCGGAGATGGCAGAGCAGGCAGGGAAATGACTGGAATCCTGCAACGGGATGAAGGGGAGAGAGTGGACGGATTTCATACAAGGACCGTTTGAGGGTGGACGGAAGAGAAAAATGGTGGAAGGGAGTCAAAAACAGGAACCAACTATCTAACTTTCAGTTGAAACAAAAAACTCCACCCATTGTCACAGCCCACTGCTCTCTCCTCCTCTTCCCATCCACTCACCTTCTTGAACTTATATACGACTCTATCCAGTCGTCCCTCTTCGTCTCCATACACCACCATTGCTGCCATGGAATCAACATACTCACCCATCCCTTTCCTCTTTGCGACTAATACGCCCTTACCCCCTTCTTTTACCATCGCTTCCCCTCAATCCCCCCCTAGCTACCCCACGCTCCCCCCCAACACTATTTCCCATCCCCTGTCTTCTTTTCCTTGCTCTCGTCTGCCCACTCACCCTCTCGGTCTTAAATACGTCTTTAGATAATCTGCATTATCCAGCCGTCCCTCCTCATCCCCACACACCACCACTGCTGCCACGTCATACCCCCGCCCTGCCAGGCTGTCCACTGCTGCTACAGTGACCGAGATTCCGCCCAACCGCCCGTCTCCCACTAGAATACAAGGCAGGCGCAGGGGTCTAGCGTGGGAGGGATGGGAAACAAAAGGGAGGGACGGGGAAACAGATGGGAGGGACGGGGAAACAGATACGAAGGAGAGATATGGGATGGATAGGAGTTCCAGGGGAGTGTGCCCGCCATCCCTCTCTGTGTCGGTTGTTCAAACTGTGGCGAGTGTGATTCTTTCTAGCGAAAACAGTTTTATAATGTATGACTCAGTGCATTCTAACATCAAAAAGTGGAAAGGTAAATGTACACCCACCTGTACAGATCAGCCTGCAGGGTTCCCGAGGGTCCAGGGCTCGCCACGCCCCCTGCTGTCTCAATCAAAACCCATTTTCCACTGCTGCTGCCGCCGCCGCCGCTGCTGCTGCTGCTGCTGCTGCTGCTGCTGCTGCTGCTGCTGCTGCTGCTGCTGCTGCTGCTGCTAACATACGATCTAACAGCGCCCACCACAGCAGCATCTGCCGCCTCCTCCCCCGTCCCTTCTCCCTCTCCTCTCTCTGGAACATCTAGCACAGCTGCCCGGCTTTCCCGGGCAGCCAGGTGGGGAGAAACAGGGTCTTTCCAAGCCCAGAGGGTGGAGCAGGTGAGCGACACTGTGGGGGTGGGTGACTGTAACGAGGGGTGATCATGGGCAGGGGATTGTGCCACTGCAGTGGGCGAGGGAGAGTGAGAGGAGATGGTGTGAGTGGAGGGGGCGTCAGAGTAGTTAGGGGAATGCAGAGTGAAGTGCAGGGACGACGAGTGGGAAGCAATTGTGCTGCCCGCACTATCATCACTGCTGGTACTGCTGTTGCTGTTGCTGTTGGTAGTAGTGTCGCCGGTGGTGGTGGCTGTTGCGCTGATCTCACTGCCGCTGCTGCCGCTGCCAGCGCAGTGTGCAGCAGCGAGCATCACCAGGCGAGCATCCGAATCTGGACATGGTGTTCGGTTCCATTCACACAGGGAAAACACACTTGGATTGGAGGTCGTTTCTGAAAATTAGAAAAAAAAGACCTACAAAAAGTAGCGAGCATCACCAGGCAGGCATCCGAGTCTGGACATGTGGTCCACTCACACAGGGAGACGCGCAAGGCAGGGAAATTCTGAGGCGCCTTAAAAACGTTCAGAGGCACTTTGAAAGTCGTTCCATATACACAAGGAGATCCCAAACGCAGGGATGTGAGAGGATGGAACGAGGCGACTTTTGAGTCGACTCAAAATTCGTTCCATATACACAAGGAGATACTCAGGGCAGGGGTGTGAGAGGATGGAACGAGGTGACTTTTGAGTCGACTCAAAATTCGTTCCATATACACAAGGAGATACTCACGGCAGGGGTGTGAGAGGACGGAACACGAGTTGTTTGAGGGAAAAAAGTCACTATTAGCTCACCTTCAAGGTACCCTGTCTGAAGTGGTTTCACATGCTCCAAATGGAATTCCCCGCAATTCTGGGCAGTTCCCCCCTGCACACCCCGTCACTAGGACCTTACCTCCAGGGTACCCTGTCTGCAGTGGCTTCACATACTCCAAATGGAAGTCTCCCCAATTCACCGCAGTTTCCCCCTGCACGCCCCTTTCCCCATCCGCTGCGTTCCCTCTACCTTCCTTGGCCCCTTCCGCGCCCCCTCCCCGCGCAGCTCGCGCAAGCAGCGCGACAGCAAGGCCCGCGGAAACGAGGGTCTTCCCCACGCCTGTATTTGCGCCCCACACCACGAACGCGGGGGCCGACAGGGAGGTGGCTTCTGGGGGAGGCGGGATCTTCCCAGCTGGCGCTGACGCTCTTGCTACCGAAATCTGGTCAGGATTCGCGACCTCGCCGGGATTCGCAGAAGCTGATGCGACCACGAAATTCCGCGAGTATAAACGGAGCTTTGAACTGGAAGGTTTGTGAAAAGCGGAATGGCTGTATCCTCGCTGCCGTGGGGAGGATAATACTATCTCGCGCTTTACGAAGGCCGAGCTCGAACTTGAACGCGCGGCAATTGACGAGAGACCCCCTCTCTTTAACACCAATTGAAGACAGTGGTATCTGGGACAGGCGAAATTGCACCTACGGAGCTTGGAGGCTGAGACGAGTCCTTCCTGAGAAGCGACATTTGCGGTGGAAAGAGCTGCTGACGCTGACGCCGCCATTGTCGCCAAAGTTGAGATTGACGCTATGGCTGCGAAAGCTGAGAAGCTTCGGGAAGGGAATTGCGGAGAGAACGCGGACAGACACAGAGGGTGACGGACTGTGTTCTTGCTAAACGAAGTCTCTGTCTGAGCGAATTCGCTCAAGCAATATGAGCGATATTGCCCTTCTGAAGATGAGGAACTACTGAACTGGATTTCTGGATTCGTACCCGGATGACAGATTCACGCGACGCGCATCCCAATAAGCGCGTTTCGCGTGTCCTGCGGGGCCTATCGCGTGAGGTGACAAGATCAAGTGCACTTCCTAAAGATGTTTAGGAAGAGGTCGTCACAACTAAAAAGTTGAGAATCCATGGTCAAAATGAGTGGAAGAAAAGAAAATGGTCACATGGCGACGGAGGAAGGAATTTGGGATACAATCGAGGTGAGGGGGGAGGCAGGTTGACGTGATCTGTCTCAGTCCGATTTCGAAATACATTTTTGCGCCTGCCGTCAAATTTTGAGTGCAGCTGCTGATGACGCCCAATTCTGCGTCCCCGCCATTGTGAGTTTCAACTCGCTCCTTCTAACGAAGTTGATACATGTCCTCCCTTGTAAGGCCAAAGAACGTATTCATTCCTATACCTCCCTCTCTCACTGTTGAGAGGTCTCAACCGTCCTGTTCATTTCAAAAAAATCGATTAGTTCTGCTCACCCTCGATTTCTTCCGCAAACCCGTAAAATCAGAAGCACGACTGATTCGTTCTCGCTGCAGCTCGAAAGCAGCAAACCCGTCGCAGATACGAAGTTTTGCGTCCGTGTGAGACGCGATTTTCCGAGCCACGTACTGGTTCCATTCCGTGGCAGTGGCATTATGGAGGACGGCCCGAGTAAGATCCGGAGAATATGCGTCTACTGCGGCTCGAGCTCTGGCACTAATCCCGTCTATGGCGAAGCGGCAGCGGAGCTCGGCCGGGAAATCGCGGCCCGGGGATTTGATTTGGTGTACGGGTCAGGAAGCATTGGCCTGATGGGTATAGTCGCGCGAACAGTGCACGAAAATGGGCGGCATGTGCTAGGGGTAATTCCCCATGCGCTCGTGCCTCTGGAGGTATCTGGGCCGTCCGTTGGCGAGGTGCGGTTGGTGCGAAACATGCACGAGCGAAAGGCGGAGATGGCGAAAGCAGCTGACGCGTTCATCGCTCTGCCAGGTCAGCAACGATTGACACGTCGTTCATCCACTGCGTTCCACTTACCGTCCTTCGCTCCAAGTCCTTCGCCATTAGTATCCAACTGTATTCAAAAGAACGAGTGCTCTGCTTTCGTTAGCTTTTACAGGAATCTGCATTCTCTCCGCTCCCCGCCTCCCATTCTATCCCCGTCTTCCATGCCCTCACGTCACCCTCCCCATTCTCCTCTTCTACCTTCCACTCCAATACGCGTTCCGCAGGTGGGTACGGCACGCTGGAGGAGCTTCTAGAGATGGTGACCTGGTCGCAGCTCGGCATTCACGACAAGCCGATCGCCGTGCTCAACGCCAACGGCTACTTCGACTCGCTGCTCGCCTTCTTCGACCGCGCCGCGCAGGAGGGGTTCGTGAACGCGACGAATCGCAGCATCGTGATGTCGGGTCGCACGGCTAAGGAGGTGCTGGATTTAATCGAAGCGTTCGACGCGGATAGCCGAGGCGCGTTGCTGGCCAAGGAGCGGTGGCATGGGGAGGAAGGTTCAGGATCGGGGAGGGATGGGGTGACCAAAGAGGAGTTGGTGAAGGCTGTTGTCGAACCCTGATTTTACCGTACTCCCTTATTGTTCGTTCAAATTCTGCTACGTAATCAACGAAACAAAGGCTAATCTTTTGCAAGTACATTCCGCAAGAATTCCTCTGAAGTTCCTACAATCAACAGATAAGTCACCTACACTCAGTCTTAAAGACAAAGAAACAGAGGTTTAAGACTAGAGGTGCAAGGGTAATGAGCAAAACTTTGTGTGTTTCGCGCTATTTTACTGCCAGTTATAAAACACAAGCGCGTCACCCGCACTTCCAGAGATGCGTGCGAAGGCAACCAGCAGATCACCTCTTAACCACTTTCAACCAGCCTCGAACTTTCTCAACTCTCCACGAGCTGCAGCACTTTTCTCAACCAGTTTACCCGCGGTTCCTGAGGTGCGGCGGAACCCACTTCTTCGCCGCTGGCACTGCTTCTGCTGGCGCTGCCGCCGGTGGTGCCGCCGCTGCTGCTGCAGGAGCACTAGGCCTCTCCCGCTCCCTCTCACCGACACTACCAGAAGCAGCAGCGCTACGAGAAGGAGGCTCGTACCTTCCTGCTGGCCTCCTGTCTTCAACCTCCCGCCCACGATCTCCCCCCCACCTGTCTCCAGCCCCTCCTGCCCCTGCACCACCAGCACTACCCCTAACAGGCGGAACGTATTTCCCAGGCGCCCCAGTAGCAGAGGCAGCAGCAGCAGCAGCAGGAGCCCTGTCCCTGGACCACCGATCCTCCTCCGCACCAACACGTCCGGAAGGCGGAGCCTCGCCGGCTGCCGAGCCTCCGCCGCGGGCGCGGAGGGCCGGCGGGACAAAGGCGGAGGTTTTGCGCTCGGCAGCAGCAGCAAGAAGGTCCTCCCGCTCCTTGCGGGCCTTCTCCTCCGCCTCCTGCTCCCTCTGGCGCTGCTTCGCTGCCATCTCCTCCAGCTTCTTCAGCCGCTCCTCCTCCTCCTTGCGCTTGCGCTCCAGCTCTGGTGTGGGTTATCATCAAGGGAGAACGCAGAGGGAATGCATGGAGTAAGTGGTTATGCAGGGGAAGGAGAGGAGATGGAGAACACAGAAAGGGAATCGAGGGAATATGGGGAGGAGATGAGGCCAGGGAAGGAATGGAGAGGAGAAAAAACCTACAAGGAGAGAGAGAGAGAGCAACAGCACCAGCACCACGCACCTTCGCGCTTGCGCCTCTCCGTCTCCTCCCAGGCCTTGAGCGCCTTGGCCTCCTCCTGACGGCGGAACATCTCCCTCTTGCGCAGCATCACCCTCTCCGTGCGCCGCAGCTCCCTCAGCTCCGCCAGCTTCTCCTCCCTCTCCCTCTTCAGCCGCTCGAATTCCCCGCGCCGCCGCCCGACAACTTGCTCCTGGAACTCCTCCTGTGAGGGAGAACAGTGGGCACGGGCAACAAGATCAGTATGGCACGCCGGAAAGGGCATGCCACCTCAAGTATGGCAAGCCGGAAACGGCATGCCACCTCAAGTATGGCACGCCGGATAGGGCATGCCACCTCAAGTATGGCACGCCGTTTAGGGCATGCGTGACACTGAAAATCACTCGCCCCACCTCAGCCCCACCCCCTGCGCTTTTCCTTCCTTCCATACCCTATCCCCCAGCATGCATGTAGCTCGTGCTGTGTCTTGCACTTTTCTCCCACTAACCCTATCCGCCTCTGCCTTCCCCCGTCCCCTGTCTCCCGTTTCCCATCCCCCCCACCCCTGTCTCCCGTTTCCCATCCCCCCCACCCCTGTCTCCCGTTTCCCATCCCCCCCACCCCTGTCTCCCGTTTCCCATCCCCCCCACCCCTGTCTCCCGTTTCCCATCCCCCCCACCCCTGTCTCCCGTTTCCCATCCCCCCCACCCCTGTCTCCCGTTTCCCATCCCCCCCACCCCTGTCTCCCGTTTCCCATCCCCCCCACCCTTGTCTCCCGTCTCCCATCCCCCATCCCCCTTCCCTCAACTCACCTTATCTCCCAGCATGCGGGACAGCCGGATCTTCTCAGCCAGGTCCTGCTCGTGCTGCGTCTTGCTCTGCGCCGCTGCCTCTGCCTGCTGCTGCTCGAACCACGCCCGCTCCTCCACCAGCCTCTGCTGGTACGCTGATTCAAGCAGCGGCTTCTCCTCCTCCCTGCGTGCCCGCTCCAGGTGATCCAATGTGCGCACCTGGACACAAGAAAAGATGGAGGGTAGATTGGGAGGAATGAGACGGGGTAAGAGGAGGATGGGAAAGAAGCATTCGCCTCCAGCAGCGGCTTCTCCTCCTCCCCGCGTGCTCTCTCTAGGTGTTCGAGCGTGCGCACCTGCAAGCAAAAGAGAGAGGGAAAGAAAAGGAGCAACAAAAGAGAACGACAGGGAAAAAGAGACGACAGAGGTAACAGGAGGATGGAAGGGGAAGGGAGGACTCTAGAAGCAGGGTTTGACCAACAGAAAAGCAGCAGAAGGCACGATAGAGTGACGGGAGCAAAAAGGGACAGAGTTAAAGCATTGCATTCACTCCACCACCCCCCACCATAGCTACCATGCATGCCCTACCGTCAACACAACCACCACCGCACTCTCTCTCACTCACCAGCTTCTGCAGGCGCCTCTCCGCCTCCTGCTTCTCCTTGAGCTGCTCTGAGAGCAGCGAGGCGCCTCCAACCATATCCACACTCAGGCAAACGAGACAGGCAGCAAACAGACCAGAGTGTCAACCCGACCTACGGCCCACACATCACAGCACATCCGGTGAGGGCAAAGCACAGCACAACATTCCCTCTCACCAGCTTCTGCAGGCGCCTCTCCGCCTCCTGCTTCTCCTTGAGCTGCTCTGAGAGCGCCTCCTCCATCAGCTGCCTCTTGTCCAGCCGCATCGTGTCCTGCTCCGACGAAAGGGGGGGGGGGGGACTAGATGAGCGGGAAGAAGGAGCATTGGCATACGAGCGGGACAGCTCACATGCCTCCGCTGCTCCATCAGCTGCCGCTTGTCCAGCCGCATCGTGTCCTGCTGGGGGCAAGGTGGGCGGCAAACAAGGAGGGAAGAGGGGGTGGGGGGTGGGAGAAAGGGCATTGGGATGCGAGTGGGCCAGCTCACTCGCCTCCACTCCTCTCCATCAGCTGCTGCTTGTCCAGCCGCATCATCTCCCGACAAGTGTGCTCCTCCTTCCACTCCCTTCCCCATAACCGACTCTTCCAACCATCCCAATCCACCCAAAGAAGAAGAGAAAAAACTCCCTTCCCCATAACCTTCTGACCCCTCTCCTTCTAAAGCCGAGCCTTGCCTCCCCTTCCTGCCAGCCCTGCCCCCAGTGACTCACCTCGAGGTTCTTCTTGCCCTTCTTGCCCTTGCGCTTCTCCGCCTCCAACAGCAGCTGCCTCGCCTCTTCCAGCTCCTTCGCCTCAATCTCCCTACGAATGCGCTCCTCCTCCCTCCGAGCGGACTCCGCTGCCAGCCTCTTCGCCTCCGCCTCCTCTGTCAGCCGCTGCTGCTTCAGCTTCGCTGTCTGCTCCTCGCGCTCCTGGTATGGGAAAAAGAGCCAGGGGAATGAGTCATTGTAGAAACGTAAAAGCCCCCCTGATCCCTATACCTTAGAAAACCCGACCCCACCAGGTCGAGCCCACTCCGCCTCCTCCTTGTGCCCTTGCAATGAGCGTCTTGCGCCAAATCAACCGACGGCAATCCTTTCCAATGAGGCCTGAATCCTTTCCACTGAGGGCGTCTAACCCTTAACCCTGTCACCCTCACCTTCTCAATACCTCCCTCGCCGTTCTCCTCCTTGCGCCGTTCAAGCAGGGTCTTGCGCACCCTAAACCCTTCCTGAACCTTCACATCCTCAACCTTCTCAATGACCTCCCGCTCCGCCTCCTCCTTGCGGCGCTCAATCAGCGTCTTCCGCGCAATCAGCCGCCGGTGCTCCTTCTCCACTGCCGCCTGGACACAGGCACCCCAAACCCTACCCATAACCCCAAACCGAAACTATAAAACCTGCCATCCTCACCTTCTCAATGACCTCCCGCTCAGCCTCCTCCTTGCGCCTTTCAATGAGCGTCTTGCGCGCAATCAGCCGCCGGTGCTCCTTCTCCACTGCCGCCTGGATCTCCTCCGCAGGGGGAAGCTGCTCCGCAGCTTCTTCAACAGGTGCGGGCGCCTTGAGGCGGATGAGCGCCACGGCGCGGTGGAGATGGCGGGCCATGGTGGCGAGGTGGTTGCGAATGCGATCCGACTCGAGCTCCTGTCAAGGAAGAAACAGGGAGAGCCGAAGGGAGAGGGACAGTGGAGCCTGCAGGTGAGTGCCACGGCGCGGTGGAGATGGCGGGCCATGGTGGCGAGGTGGTTGCGAATGCGATCCGACTCGAGCTCCTGTCAAGGAAGAAACAGGGAGAGCCGAAGGGAGAGGGACAGTGGAGCCTGCAGGTGAGTGCCACGGCGCGGTGGAGATGGCGGGACATGGTGGCGAGATGGCGGGCCATGGTGGCGAGATGGCGGGCCATGGTGGCGAGATGGCGGGCCATGGTGGCGAGATGGCGGGCCATGGTGGCGAGATGGCGGGCCATGGTGGCGAGATGGCGGGCCATGGTGGCGAGATGGCGGGCCATGGTGGCGAGATGGCGGGCCATGGTGGCGAGATGGCGGGCCATGGTGGCGAGATGGCGGGCCATGGTGGCGAGATGGCGGGCCATGGTGGCGAGATGGTTGCGAACGCGGTCTGACTCGAGCTCCTGTTGAGAGAGAGGCACGAGAATTGTTGGGTAAAGAAGTTAACAGTGAGAAGGTATGAGATGAGGAAGGTGGGAGTTGAAGGGCACAAGGGGTCTTGAGGCGGATGAGGGACAATTGCGCGGTTGAGATGGCAAGGCATGGCGGTGGGATGGTTACGAATAATGGTTGCAAATTTCACAGTGCCCTTGCAGGAAGCATCTTCTCGGTTCTTCCAACACTCCCTCACGTCATGCACACCCCTTCTCCGTCTTACGGTCCCTCTCTTTTCCACTCACATCGGCGCCGAACTTGACAGTGCCCTCGCAGAAGTCCAGTTGCACGTGCACAAAGCCCTCGGCCACGGCCTCTGCCCTTTCGTTTCCCACCTATCTCGATCTTCATTCACACCACTCCCTCCCTTCCCACTCACATCGGCGCCGAATTTCACAGTGCCCTCACAGAATTCCAGGCGCACATGCACAAAGCCCTCCCATACTCACAGCCCTCTCTGCCTTGACTCTCACTCCTCCCTCCCTTCACACTCACATCAGCGCCGAACTTGACGGTGCCCTCGCAGAAGTCCAGGCGCACATGCACAAAGCCCTTCACCGCGGCCTCTGCCCTTTCGCTTCCCATTTATCTCTTACCTTCATTCACACCACTCCCTCTCTGCACACTCACATCCGCGCCGAACTTGACAGTGCCTTCACAGAAGTCCAGGCGCACGTGCACAAAGCCCTCAGCCACAGCCTCTGCCAGCACGCGCTCCACAAAGACGAGGTCGCCGAATGGCACCATGCGGCAGAGACTGGTGATGGTCATCACGTCGTACACTTGAGATGCCTGGGGAGTGGGTGAGAGAGTACAGGGGAGAGAGCGGAAGAGAGGAGAGAGGAGGGGACGGGAGCGGAGGAAGAGCGGGAAAGAAACAGTCACATGTGGAAGCATGAGCAGCCAGTGAGACGAGCCTCACAGCAGTCACTCCACACAGCCTCAAAAGGCAACCTCAACCTCAGCCTTAGCCTCGGCCACGGCCTCTGCCAGTACGCGCTCCACAGAGACGAGGTTGCCGAATGGCGCCACGCAGACATGCCCGTCTGTACTCTAATTTATTTTCTTCCTTCATCCCCACACGTTTTCTCTATCACCCCGCGCTTTTTCTCAGACATGACTGCCAATCCGCAAACAGCGGAGGAAGAAATTGGTTGCTCGCCACAAGGTGGTGACAAAGCTGAAGCAGCATGCGAGACACATGCCCGTCCGACCCTCACCTGTACGGTTTATTTTTAGAATTCTCAAAAAAACCCTACAACATCATGGTTGCTCGCCACAAGGTGGTGACAAAGCTGAAGCAGCATGCGAGACACATGCCCGTCTGTCCCTCACCTGCTGCAGCACACGAAGAGTGGCCAGTCGGTGCAGAGCAGGAGTGTACATCTGCAGCTCCACCTTGGGCACGGGGCACACCGCCGGCAGCTTCACGTAGCTCACCTCTGTTCTACTGCCCTTCCCTCCGCTCAGCACCTTCAACCCATCCTTCTCCTGTTTCACCCCTCACCTGCTGCACCACTCGCAGGGTGGCGAGTCGCTGCAGAGCGAGCGTGTACGTCTGCAGTTCCACCTTGGGCACGGGGCACACAGCCGACAGCTTCACGTCGCTGAGCTCAGGCAGGCGCTGCAGCAGCGGGTGCACGCGCGCAGCACCCTTACACCCATCCCTCCTATGTTTCACCCCTCACCTGCTGCACCACACGAAGAGTCGCCAGTCGCTGCAGGGCGGGTGTGTATGCCTGCAGTTCCACCTTGGGCACAGGGCTCGCAGCCGACAGCTTCACGTCGCTGAGCTCCGGCAGGCGCTGCAGCAGCGGGTGCACGCGCGCAGCGAGGTCGAGTGGGAGGAAGTCGACCTCCACCAGATGGTGCAGCTCGCGCACTTGAGGGAGCACGAAGGCGAGAACGCCCTTGGCCGTCTGATTGGGAGAGATTGAGGGTGCATGGGGGGGGAGGGGAAGGAAGGCATAAGGTAGGGAGGTCAGAGGTCAGAGGTCAGAGGTAGGGAAGCGAGGACGAGTGGGAGGAAGTCGACCTCCACCAGATGGCGCAGCTCGCGCACTTGAGGGAGGACAAATGCTAGCACACCCTTGGCCGTCTGGTGGGGTTGCCAGGGGGGAAGGAAATGAAGGAAGGAAGCAACGCATCCAATATTCGACCCATTATACATGAGCAGAGATGTTCATTACCCTACCTTCTTGAAGTCGCACGTTTATTTCACGAAGAAGGCAGCCAATTATTGATATGCCTGCATGTTTCGGTATGGCATGGCATGGCATGGCATGGCATGGGGCACGGATGACATGGCACGGTGTGGCATGGCATGGCGCGGCACAGCATGGCATGGCGCGGCACAGCATGGCATGGCATGGTATGGAATGATAGCAGGACTTACAATCTCCTGCAGAAGAGCTGAGCGAGAGAGCTGCGCAAATGTTAGCGCCACCGAATCCATCAATGGGATGCATGCGAAGAAGGGGGGAGAGGGGGGTGAGGTTGAGTGGAACGAGGGAAAAAATAAGGGTGCAAGAACAAAAAACGGGAGAGCCGCATGATTGAGTTACATCAACACAACACAGGGCCTAGGAAGATAGAACGTCAGAACTAGATATGGCAATCCAAAAAGCTTTCAAAAGAAGGGTCCACAACAGCTAACAACCGTTTCCAAGTGAAAGAGAGCAAGTAGGGGCGGGCCAATGAGAATCAGTGTATAAAACAGGAGAGATGGGGAGAGGATTGCGGAGAGGGATAGGGGGAGTGGTCGGGGGGGGAATGGGGAGGAGATAACGAACGGGATGGGGGCGGAATGGGAAGAGTAATGTGCGAAGGAATGCGGAGGAAAATTAAGACCGCAATGAGAGCCTCATATCACCCTTCCCATCCCCTTCCCCTCTCCCAAACTCCACTCTCCCGACCCAGATCCCCATACCCACTCCCCCCTCGCCCCACCTTTCTCCCCTTTCCCTCCCCTCCCCCCTACTTCCCGCCCCCCACCTCCCCCACTCTCACCATCTGCCGCGGGTCCTTCTTCGGATCCACAACCACCCCCAGCAGGTTCGCCATCCGCACAGCCTTCTCCCGCGCCAGCTCCCCCTCCGCGCCCCCCCGTCCCCCCGCGCCCGCGCCCCCCGCGAACCGCTCGTACGGGGGCACCGCGAGCGCGGACAGCACGACCGCGGACGCCAGCAGCTGCAGGTCCTTATCCTTGAGATTCTTATTATAGCTTCGCTGCAGCAGGTACAGCTTATACCACGCGTACGCGTGATACAGCCGCGCGCTCCCGCTCGCGGCCCCCCCGCTGCTACTCCCCCCCGTCCCCTCAGAATCCCCCTCCCCGGCCGCCATGGCGAAGATCCGCGTCAAGCGCGCGTAATAAACCGCCATGAGCTGCGGTTTCGGCGCCTTTTTCGACAGCAGCATCAGCCCGTGAATATCCTCCACCGAGCGAAACGCCTCCTGCCAGAGGCCCAGCTCCGTGGCGACCTTGAGCTGCTCGAAACGCGTGTCGAGGTACAGCTGGAGGGTTTCTGGGAGGGCGAGGTCCGGGCGGTCGCGCTGGTCGCGGTACTTGTTGAGGTTGACGAGGTGGTTGCGGAGGATCTCGCAGAGGCGGCGGAACTCGTTTGTGCGCTTGTACTGCTGGCAGAAGCCGAATGCGCGGTGGGCGGTCATCTGCATGGGGGGGGGAGGAAACGGGGGGGCGGGGGAGGGGGGAGGGGAGGGGGGAAGTGGGGGATGGGGGGACAGGACGGGAGAAAATGGGGGGAGGGGGACGGGGAAAGGGAGGGGGTGTGTGTACAAGGTGGGTAGAAGGCGGCGGTCGCGCTGGTCGCGGTACTTGTTGAGGTTGACGAGGAGGATGCGCAGGATCACCCGGGCGCCGCACTCACCGCATAGCGAGCCTCCATCTTAAACCAGAGGAACTTGAACCAGGGCGTGACGAGCTCGCTGTCCGTGCGCTCCTTGCCCTTCTCACCGCTCACGAACCCCAGCATAAGGTCCTCGGGGCTCTTCTCCGCCTCCAGGTCCGCCGATTCCCCCCGTTCTCTCCGCCAACCCCCCCACTCCCCCACTCTCACCACCCCTTCAAGAAAAACCAGTACCGGGCACCGCACTCACCGCAAAGAGAGCCTCCATCTTGCAGTTGTTCCTCAGCACGTCCAGCACGGTGCGGTAGGCCTCCCAGAGGGACTTGAACCAGGGCGTGACGAGCTCGCTGTCCGTGCGCTCCTTGCCCTTCTCGCCGCTCCTTGCCTTCTCCCCTCTCGCGAACCCGGTCACTCACCGCATAGAGAGCCTCCATCTTGCAGTTATTCCTCAGCACGTCCAGCACGGTGCGGTAGGCCTCCCAGAGGAACTTGAACCAGGGCGTGACGAGCTCGCTGTCCGTGCGCTCCTTGCCCTTCTCGCCGCTCACGAACCCCAGCATCAGGTCCTCCGGGCTCTTCTCCGCCTCCAGGTCCGCCACCTCCCCCAACGCGGCTTCCGCCGCGGCGGCTTCCACCTGCGCCTGCGCCTGCTCCGCCTTCTCCGTGGCGAGCTTGAGGAAATACTTCACCACCTCCTCGAGCGATTGCACGTTCACCTGGAGAGAGCGGAGGGGAGAGGGGGGGGAGGGGGTGGGGAGGAGGAGGAAAGGCATGTGCCTCATTTTCAAAGAGTTCAGTGCTGTGTGCAAGCTAAGAATCGCAAACCACTGCAAGCTAAGCTTCGATACAGGCACAGTCCCATACAGTCACACGCACCTGCTGGCAGGCGATGCGGTACTGGATGAGGCCGTCCTTGGCAAAGCGCCCCTTGCGCATGTCGACGCACAGCTCCACGTACTTGAGCATGATGCGCTCCAACGGCTTCTGCCATGTGCGGTACCGCTTCGACGTGATCAGGTCGTGCAGGGATTGCAGGGCTGCGGCCTTCTGCCCCACATTCATTAGCTCTGAGGGAGAGGAATAGCGAAGGAGAGGTAGAAGAGGGGAATAAATCAGATTAATTCGTCATTAGGCGACTCACAACGATCCAGCGGCTCTGCTACGTGTGGTGGCGAGCCTTGAGTGTGGGAGAGAAACGGTGAGCAACTACTTACTAGACTACAGCGACTCCTTGTGGAATCTCCGAAGAATTAACTATCGGGTGAGTACATCCATACACTAAAATGCAGCGATAGTGTGACCCTAGGCTGAGTTGACCCTAGGCTGCGTTAACCCTAGGCCGAGTCAACCCTAGGCGGAGTTAACCCTAGGCTAAGCTGAACCTAGGCCGAGTTAACCCTAGACTCAGTTTACCCTAGGCTGCGTTGACCTTAGGCTGAGTTAACCCTAGGCTGAGATGACCCTAGACTAGATTAGCCGTACGCTAAATGATCAACTTGATAGCAATTTAATCGGATTTCATCCACCGCGGTCCGTCCTGTTCCTTTCAATGTGCACTTCGCAAGTCTCTAATGGCAACTCAGGCTGACGACTCAGACGCCAGCACGAAAAGGCCGTTAATGATAACGTTGATTTAGTAGCTCAATCAGCACGTCACCTAGCGTCTCTCGACTGTATCCCGCGCACCAGAAGGAGTCGGTTAACTTAGGAATGCTACCCCGTCCAGGAAACTCTGACTATGCCAAATCTTCCTCGTGAAGGGTTATCCGTTATGCTGCTACCAAGAGATGGCATCGCGTAGCAACGAAGGCTCTATGCGAAACAACAAATCTGGCGGATATACAGTTTACTAAGATCCAAAATGGCAGGCTCGATCTCATGCTGTCTGCCGATACTGCTCACTAACGATCTTGATTCGCGCGTAGACTGAACGACATGGCTTATCCCGCTAAAGAATGACACAAACATGAAACGTGCCAGACAATTTCTATATTTCGTTCATGCGGCAGAATTAACGCCCGTTTCTGATACCGATCGAGTGACTAACAGCAACTGGAGGTTCCTAGGGCAGAGAAACGTTGCTGACCTTCGGCGCGCTTCAGCGCATTCTCCGGCTTGGCGAACGTCGCCATGGCTGGCTCCTTACGCAACCAAGCTAAGCGTCGTTCACGGTTCCAATAAATGCCAAGGTAAGGGAGCTGAAGGCTATAGCGTGATTCTCTCCCTAGGACACCTGACAGATCCTCCTGTGATGGAGATCAAAGAGAGAGTTCCTTGAGCCAGAAAGCTACTCATGTGGGAAGTGGGTGTGAAGGTGTGGTGCGAGAATCCAGCTGAAAACGGGGGAGTACGAAGCGGTTCTTTTACAGAACCGTTTGGAACCGTTCCAAACCTTTCTGAAGGCTCATACATGGGCTGCAATGCTGTTTTTACAAGCGCAGAAAGAGAAGGCACAGGGGGACGTGAAGTTGGGAAGCAGGCCGAACCAAGTTCACGTGTGGATACAGAATCTACAGACTTGCCGAGCTGCCTGCTGTGGTAACATGCCGTACAGCTTCGGGCTTGATTTGCCAATGTTCCGAAGCAAGTCTCCCAGCGAATTTAGGCTCGTTCGGCAAAACCAGAGCTGGGCTTTGGCCGTGCTGATCTTTGTTGTCACATGTGTCCGTGTCTGTGAAGGGTGGTTATCCACGATGACTAATTTTCCATCCTACAAGACGACTCGGAAAACTACACATTCCAATTGTAGAAACGACATTGTAGATTGGAGTAAGTATATAAGGGGTTGCAAACACGTATACCTGCTCTGCGGAACTGATTTTCAGAGCCAGTGTGTGTTAGAAAACCAGTTTCGCAGCCAAATAAACAACGAGTAACATAAGGATGCGAAGCAGGGACCTTTTCGCCATTTCGCCCACTTTGCCTAAACCTTCGAGATCCACAGACCAGCGTCAGAGAGTGGAGGGCTTCAACCCCTGATCTCAACCGCAGCTGCGTGCCTAGTGGCTATATGTAAGGAATTTTCTCGGCATTCCTTACGGAGCCGACTACATCGCGTACAGCAACAGCCGTTGTTCGCCCGCTACCGCTAACGGGACTTCGCTGACTTCGCCTGCACTGTTTTGCCAAACCTCGCACTGCTGGCATGGCCGTATCGGCCTACGCTTCGGGACTAGCCCGAGCCTCGCTCCAGCGTAGCACTAGCGAGCTCGCACGCACCGCGTTACCGTTTTGCATGTTTCGCGTATAAATGTTCGCTCATGCCTTCGCTCACATTTTGTACTCGTTAGACACCTTAGTGCAATTCTCGCTACTTCGATTCATTGCACCCGTAACACTTGGTACCAGAGCCCCTCTTTTCGGACCGCGCATCTCCGCACACCAGGAAATCAACTTTTGATTTTTTCACTTGAAGGGACTTCCGCACCTTAGCCCCTAGGAGCCGCTGTCCTCGCGTTCTCTCGTAAACGCGTGCAGCCACGACTGCGCCTAGACTAAGACGAGCCGACGCCCTTCGTCATGGCCGAAAATATTGACGTCACCACCCTCACGAAGGAGCGTTTGAACGATCTGCTGCGACAGCTGCACGAAAGTTCCGAGGAAATCGCGGCATTAACGGCAGAACGCTCATCGCTGCAAAATGACCTCACGAGGGCACAACAAGCACAATCTCAAGCACCTGGCACTCCGATTCAACCTGCACCCTCGACATCACAACACGGGAGTGTGGGGCAACCCGCGAGCGCGGCCAGTGATGGCGTCGTCCGCCCTGACGGGGACGACGACCACGGCACAACACACCCCGGAGCGACGCATGCGGCCCCAAGTCAGCCTCGCGTCACGATCTCGGCACCAACCCACGATTCGGGACTGCCGTCACCGAGGCCGCTGAAGCCGCAGCGCCCGCCATGCTTTGACCCGAGTCAACGGGGTGGTCCTACCGTCCAGGCGTGGTTGTTCACGATGAATGTCTTCTTCGACGCCAACTACGTCTCGGAGGACTCGGCGAAGATTCGATACGCCGTGTCGCTGCTGCGAGGACCCGCCATGGACTGGTGGCGCGTCATTGTCACGAAGCCGACAGACTACGCGACACTACCGACACGGGAAGGACAAACCGGACCCTGGGCGCCGTCGTATTTCGTGGAGGTGCCCCAGTATCGCACGTGGGACGCGTGGTGCGCAGGTCTGCGCGCTCGATTTGAGCCAATTGCGGCTTCGATCGCGGCACGACAGAAGCTCCGCACTTGGCGCCAACTCGGTTCCGTCCAGGACTACACGAGCGGATTTTTGGCGCTATGCGAACAGGTGGGCTACATGCATGAGAGCGAGCGCATCGACCGCTACATCGGCGGCCTGAAGCAGGACATCGCTCAGGAAATCCAACTTCGCGCCGTCACCGAATTTCAGGAAATTCTCGCTATGGCGGAGAAGCTCGACTTCTTTCGCCGACCGAGACCGGGGTCCTACGGAAACAACAACTGGGGACATCGGCCTCGTGGGACGAACGAGAGCGCCACGATACGCGCCGTCGCCGCAAATGCCGCTGCCGCACCGTTCAAAGGGCGCTGCTTTGCGTGCAATCGGCCGGAACATCGCAAGAGCGAATGCCCGGAAAACGCTAAGGGAAAGGGGGAAGCTGAGCAGCAGAAACAGACCAAGCAGCAGGGAAACGCTGGAAGTCAGTAGCAGACGGGCCCTCTACTGACAGGTCACGCCGCTCGCCCGACCCAACCGACCCTCACCGAGTGATTGTGCCGGTTCACGCAATCGACCACACCCGGCCGAATAAGGAGGGTACCACGGTAGACAGCCCTATACTGCTCAGTGGGAAAATTGGGACGGACTTAGTTAAATCTTCGTAGACGGGGGAGCCAGCCACAGCCTCATTAACACTGCTACAGCACGAAAACTGCGACTGCCACTGGACAGATGCTTACCTGAGATCGACGCACGACTGGTAGATGGCACGCCGCTGGCAATACGGGAACGCGTAGACCGAGTTCGGATTCGATGCGGGGGTAACTTCACGTTTAGCCAGGAAATGCTCGCAACGACCCTCGACGGAACCGAAATTTTACTCGGGCGTGATTGGCTGCGACGACACAATCCGCGAATCGACTGGACGACGGGTGACTGCACCGTGCGAGTGAACGGTAACAACATCGCCTTACCTCGCTGGGGCTCGCCTGAGTCTTCGTCGGTGCGTGTCAATGCGATCACGATGAAACGCGCTGTAGCGGCCGGAGCTGACGTGTACGCGGTTGACATTCGGGAAGCCGAGGCAGCAGACAAGGGAGGGGATTTACAGAAACTGCTGACCGACGTACCGAGTGATCTGGCAGCACTGTTAACACGGTACAGCGACATTTTCCCGGATGACTTACCGACGGGACTGCCACCGCAGCGACCGCACGACCACAGGATAGAACTGGAACCGGGGGCACAGCCAACAGTACAGCGACAGTTCCGACTGACCCAACCCGAACTAGACGAACTGAGGAAGCAGCTCGATTACCTGCTCGAGAAGGAATTCATTCGCCCTAGCTCGTCGCCCTTCGCCGCACCAATACTATTCACACCGAAAAAAGACGGGGGATTTCGCATGTGCATAGACTACAGAGCACTGAACAGGGTTACCATCAAATCCCGTTACCCCATCCCACGAGCCGGCGAACTGATCGACCAACTGCGCACAGCCCGGGTTTTCTCGAAAATTGACCTCCGGGGAGGCTACCACCAAATCCGCGTCAACCCACACGACTGCCCTAAAACCGCATTCCGAACACGCTACGGATCTTTCGAATACACTTTCATGCCATTCGGACTGACCAACGCCCCCGCCACCTTCCAAATGACCATGAACGAAGCATTCCACCCGCTTTTAGATAAGTGCGTCATCGTTTACCTGGACAACATACTGATTTACAGCCCTGACAGAGCACAGCACTTACAAGACATCGAAGTAGTTTTTAAAATCCTGAGTGAGAACCGCCTACTGACCAAAGCATCTAAGTGTGAGTTTTTACAGGACCGCCTGGAGTTTTTGGGACATGTTATTTCAGCTGCAGGAGTGGAAATAGACCCGAAGAAAATCGCGACGATCCAGGCTTGGCACGCGCCGACCAACTTGACCGAGTTGCAGAGTTTTCTGGGGTTCGTCAACTACGTGCGCCGGTTCGTCCCCGATATGGCGAAGTTAACTGCTGCACGTGCTGAGGAAGGGGGTTGAGTACACGTGGGGGGAGAAAGAGCAAGCTGCCTTCTCGGCCCTCAAAAACATTTTGTGCTCACCGCCCGTGCTTCACATCGCAGATCCACACCGTCCGTTCGAGCTCGTCACCGACGCAGGTGACATCGCTGTGGGAGCAGTACTGTTGCAGGACTTCGGGAACGGCCTCCAGCCAATCGCGTATGAGTCCCGCAAGCTGCACCCGCCCGAACGCAACTACCCGATACACGACCGCGAAATGCTGGCGATCGTGCACGCGTTCAAAGTTTGGCGGTGTTACCTGACTGGCGCCGACGTGACAGTACGGACAGACCACCGCTCACTACAGTACCTTCGCGCCCAACCGAATCTCAACCCACGACAGATTCGCTGGTTGGACTATCTTGAGTCCAATTTTCACTACACCGTTACGTACAAAAAAGGCGCATCCAACATCGCCGACGCCCTCACCCGCCCCACCGCCCAACTCCACGCCATCCTACTCGCCCAGACCAGCCCGCTTTTAACTGGCCTATTCACCCACGGATACCGCACCGACCCATTCTTCACGACTGGAAATTCACACCAACTGGCAGAAGCAAAAGGAGTTTATTACGTAAAAACAGGCACCAACCGCATTTGGGTACCCGCGTACTCACTACTGAGGGAGCTGCTACTGCAGGAGGCACACGACGGGATTACCTCGGGACATTTCGGGGTAGAAAAAACACGACAGCAACTGCAGCGGTATTATTACTGGCCGGAGCTGTTAACCGACGTACAGCAGCACGTGGGCTCGTGCCCTACGTGTCAGGTGATGAAGAGTTCAAGGAAGCGGAAGGCGGGTCAGTTGCAGCCGATCCCACCGCCCGAGCGCGCCTGGCAGCAAGTAACCATGGACTTCGTCACAGGGTTACCTTCGAACCCTGGGGGCAACGACGCGGTGATGGTCGTCGTGGATAGGCTGACGAAGATGGCACACTTCGCTGCGTGCAAAAAGTCGATCTCAGCCGAGGAGACCGCTCGCCTGTTCATCGCAGCCGTTGTTCGCCTGCACGGGATACCAGCAGCGATTATCAGCGACAGGGACACGAAGTTTACCAACAACTTCTGGAAGAACCTTTGGGAGCAGTTCGGGACCAGGCTACAGTTCAGCTCGTCGTACCACCCCGAGACCGACGGCCAAACGGAGCGGACGAATCAGACGATGGAGCAGTTGATTCGTGCCACGTGCGACGACCCCACGACCTGGGAGCAGCAGCTGCCGCTGATCGAGTTCGCGTACAACAACGCCACATCAGCAACGACGCTGCAGTCCCCGTTCTACCTGAACTATGGGCAAAACCCCACAGTGCCCATGACGCCGAGTCCGGACAACCCAACGCCACATGCACAACAATTCGCCGAAATCCTGCAAGCTGCCCGCACCAGAGCCGCCGAAGCAATTAAAAAAGCCAATGTCATCGCTAAGCGCAACGCTGACCGCCACCGCCGCCCTGTCACGTACCAATCTGGAGATTACGTGCTGCTCGACACGCAAAACCTCCGACTGCCCGACGTACCGAAATTACGACCGCGCTACTGTGGACCGTTCCAAATCAGTCACATGATCACACCCGTCACCGCACATCTTCTGTTACCAACCGACTGGTACATCAGCCCTTCGTTCCACGTCAGCCTACTTCGCCCATACATACCGACCACAAGTCAACTGCCGCGTCACCGCCCACAATCAATGACTCGCCCTGCATCGGAGCCGATCATCGAGCCCGAAAAAATCCTGAGCCATCGGATCCGCCACCCCACGGGAATCCGGAGGATTGAATTCCTCGTTCGCTGGGAGAACCGCACGCCAACTGAAGATAGCTGGGTGCCCCTGACCAACATTGAAAACCACCCTGCCCTGCAAGTGTACCTGAGGAGCCGGGGATTCCGCGATATACACGCACTCTCGTAGCGGAGGGGGCTTCTTAAAGGGGGGGGTAGTGTAAGGAATTTTCTCGACATTCCTCACGGAGCCGACTACATCGCGTACAGCAACAGCCGTTGTTCGCCCGCTACCGCTAACGGGACTTCGCTGACTTCGCGCGCACTGCTTTGCCAAACCTCGCACTGCTGGCATGGCCGTATCGGCCTACGCTTCGGGACTAGCCCGAGCCTCGCTCCAGCGTAGCACTAGCGAGCTCGCACGCACCGCGTTACCGTTTTGCATGTTTCGCGTATAAATGTTCGCTCATGCCTTCGCTCACATTTTGTACTCGTTAGACACCTTAGTGCAATTCTCGCTACTTCGATTCATTGCACCCGTAACACTAGAACAGTCACACATAACAATGACGCGGTTTGTTCTGGATAGTTTCAACTTTTATTGTTTTCTGAACATCCCATCTCGTTTGCTATTTTCAAGTTATTGTCGAATTCCTTGGACGTTGCATAGAAGCAATCAGAACGAGCGTCGGAGCGGAGCAGGTTTCGGAATCGGAATGAAACCCGTCTTTGTTGAAGTCCACTCCTGAGACGGATTTGTGAAAACGCGAAGGGTTTCTAGCACAATTCGACAGCTTCGCGCCATCACAGCCCAAAAATTATCCGACCCCAGCATCCACGCATTTCTCCGCCGCTTGTGCCGTTGCGCTTTCAATTCCTCCAATGTGACCGTTGTCTCGATTCAGTTGATCTGCCTTCTTCCTTCGCTCCCACACAGCTTTCCTCCTTGTGCCAGTCCTTCAGACATTCACGAGTTGTTGCTTGTCAAAATCCGTTGTTCTGGAAAAGATTCCTTGTCAACAGCAATTTGGCTGTTTACATAGTAGACCTGCCTGCGTGTGGGACCGTTAGGAAGCCTGAAGGACCGGATTCTCGTGAGGCGGAAGAGGCATGACGTCACTGTACACATCATTCCGCCTTTTCCGCTGCAGCAGCAGGATCTCACGTTAAACGAAACTTGCCGAGGGGGGTAGAACTAGTGATTTGCAGGTTTCTACGTGTAGTCATTTCACAGGCAACTTCATTTTCGACCTGCATGCGATAGGCTGTTTGGTGGATAAGGCCGTCGCCAGGTCGACGTGTGTCGCCAGCTGAGCTCATGCGACGCAAGTTGAGCTCGTGCGACACTGTCTAATGCCAGATAGCGTATTCGCTACCACGAGCCATATTCTACTGTCACCTTCCTCTCCTACTTCGATAAGAAACGCACGTGTAGCTCAATCGTGTGCTGTATGGTGGTAACCAGCCGCTACGATTCCCGTTCTGATAGAAGCACGTTGCGGATTTCGGTTCCGGCTCTACCTAATGGCTCCCTCTGAGATGTAGGGATCTAGCCTCGGATACCCTTCCTGCCGCGTCTAGGCGGAAGTTCGTGTAGGTCGTAAGTTCGTCTAGGCGGAAGTTCGTGTCACTAATGCGTTGGGCGGAAGTTCGTGTCACTATTGCGTTAGGCGGAAGTTCGTGTCACTATTGCGTTAGGCGGAAGTTCGTGTCACTATTGCGTTGGGCGGAAGTTCGTGTCACTATTGCGTCAGGCGGAAGTTCGTGTAGGTCGTTGCAATGAAGGGGCCCATGTCCCCGCTCTCGCTGCGCGCGACGGAGCTGGAGGACCGCCCGCCGGAGTGGATGGCGCTCATCGCGCCGTCATCCTCGGCGGGCCCTGCGCCGCCTCTCCCGTCGGCGTCCAGCAGCAATGGCGGAGCAGGAGGTGGCTTAAAGCCCCGGTGAGCAAAGCGTACTTTCCTTTGGGCTCAAAGGATGTTTGTGAGGTCTACTGAGGCAAAACACCCAGGAACAGGAAGCGGCTTAATGCCCCCGTGAGCGAAGCGCAGGTTCCGTCTTTTGTTCAACAGTCCGACGTTGTGAGATGTTATTCTAGGCGCTTTAGAGCTCGTCCAGCAGCAATGGGGTAACAGGAAACGGCTTGAAGTCCCAGTGAGCACAGCTCAGGTCCCTGTGTTTTGCTACACTTCTGAAAGCACCCAGCCATGGAGTGAAGGGCGAAGCGTAGCCAGTCCCCCGCCTCTTCTCTTCCCTATCCATTTTTGAGACGTCTCAAAAGTCCCTATCCATTTTTGAGACGTCTCAAAAGTCCCTATCCATTTTTGAGACGTCTCAAAAGTCCCTATCCATTTTTGAGACGTCTCAAAAGTCGAAGCTTAGCCAGTCCCCCGCCTCTTCTCTTCCCTATCCATCCCACATCAGCCGCGTGCGAGTGCAGCCAATGTCACGCCCCTCGCACGCGGACATCTACGACAGCAGCTCTCAAAAACGCATTTAGCTCCTCATTCCCCATTCCCCCTCTCTCCCCACCTTCCGCCCTCACCCCACCTCAGCCGCGTGCGCGTGCTGCCTGTGCCACACCCCTCGCACGCTGACATCCATGACAGCGGTTCCCAAACACACTCATTCATCCGCCCCCTTCTCTCTCCTCCCTCTCTCTCCCAATCACCTGAATCAGCCGCGTGCGAGTGCTGCCAGTGTCACACCCCTCCCACGCGGACATCTACGACAGCGGCTCTCCCGGCGGGACCGGGGGTTTCATTGGTTCCAACTGCTGGGCGGCATTTTGGCGCGTAGTGCACTACCTCTTCCCGTGCACCAAGTGGATGGCGGCTTATAACCTGCGAGACGACCTCGTGGCGGACCTTATAGCGGGGATAAGTGTGGGCGTGATGCTCGTTCCACAGGTAGGTGCACACGTGGCGGGATTCTGCTGATTTAGGTGTGGAAATTTCTCATACGCGTTATGGACTAGCTGGGCGCCTGTTACAGAGGGTGGTGTTTGATTCATACGTGCTTGTTTACCATATTGTTTTATTCCCTTTTTCACTTCCCGCACCAATCACTCATTCTTACCTGCTGAACCCCACTCCTGCCCCGCATCCCACCATCCTCCTTTTTTCCCTTCTTTCCGTTTCTCTCCCTCTCTTTTCGCCGTCCACCCCTCCCCCTCCCCCCTCACAGTCAATGTCATACGCTAAACTCGCTGGCCTGCCCCCGATATACGGCCTATGTATGTATACCAATGCGCATGACATGTTCCAACTAGCTGACGTTTGAGTCGACTCAAAAATCCCCCGATATACGGCCTATGTATGTATACCATTACGCATGACATGTTCCAACTAGTGTGTACATGCCAATCCATGGGATTGACATGCCTCTAGCTAGTGTATGCATGCATGTTACTCGTGTATGTGTGACATGTGCTTGACATGCCTTCAAGTGGTTCCTTTCATAATTTCTCAGGTACAGCGCGGTTCTGTTGCTGATTGTGGCTGGTGAAACGAGCACCTCTTCCTTTCATATTCCCTTCGTCTTCCCCGGCCTCCCTCCCCACTTCCCCAACCCCCTTGCCTCATTTCCGTTTCCCCATCCCCGTCCGATTCCGCTTTCCCCCCCATCCCATTCTCCCCATCCCGTTCTCCCCATTCCCATTTCCCAAATCACCACCCCCCACCCATGTCCTCCCCCCTCCCAGACTCGGCGTTCGTGCCCATTCTGAGCTACGTGGTGTTCGGCTCCTCCCGCCAGCTGGCAGTGGGCCCCATAGCTTCCATTCCAAAGCGCACCCCCTCTCTCCCCCCCTCTCTCCCCCCCCCTCTCCCCCCTCCCAGACTCGGCGTTCGTGCCCATTCTGAGCTACGTGGTGTTCGGCTCCTCCCGCCAGCTGGCAGTGGGCCCCGTGGCGATTGTGTCCATCCTCACATTCGACGGGCTCCGGAAGGTTGTAGCGGAGAAGCTCCGCGACTCGGCTGTAGCGGCGGGCCTGGCTGCTACAGCAGGGGGCGTGGGAGGGGGGATAGAGCTCCCAGGTGCGACAGGTCTGGGTGGGTTCCAACCCTCTAGGTCCCTGCTGGATTTCCGAAGCTCTGTTGGCGGTAGTAGTAATAGCGGCGGCATCGGTGGCAGCAGTGGCATCAGCAGCAGCGGTGCTCTGTTTCCGTTTCCTGTGAGCACGGCTGCACGGCAGCTGAGTAGCATGGGGTGGGGGATCACAGCCGCGGAATTGACAGGTGGAGGAGTGGGAGTAGGAGCGGGAGGAGGAGGGATGCTAGGAGGAGGGGCAGGAGGGGCAGTGGTGGCGGGGGACGTGAGCATGGAAGAGTTGGCAGTGCTGCTGGCGCTGATGGTGGGACTACTCGAAGTGCTAATGGGCCTGCTCAGGTGAGCGCTCTCAGGGGTTCTTTCAGCCGACTAGCAGGACAGGCAGTAAGGGCGGGGATGTGACTTGTGATCATGGAAGAGATACCATACCAGTGCTGCCGGCGCTCATGGTGGGAGTGTTTGTGGGAGTGCTCGAAGTGCTCATGTGCCTGCTCAGGTATGCGTTGTGTTCTCAGGTGTTTTTTCAGAGACTTCTCATACGTGATCTTTCAAGGGGCTTCTCAGGTTCATTTTGGTGAATACCATTCTCGGGTTTTTCCTGGCCCACGCATTTTGTACCGCGTCGCATGATGATCCCTGAAAAATGCACCTTTTCTTCCGTTTTGTCCTTTTCTCCATCCTCCATCCATCCCTCTCTCGCCCTCCGTGTCTCTCCTCCCGTCCCCTCCAGAATGGGGTGGCTCGTGCGCTTCCTCTCACACAGCGTTGTCTCGGGGTTCACCTCAGGAGCGGCGCTCCTGGTGTGCGTGTCCGTGGCAAAGGACATTCTCGGCTTCTCTATGCCGGGTGAGTGGGGGGGGATGAGAGTCAGACCGCAAGGCTGGGGGCTGCTGGGTGTGTGCTGGGTGAGACCACAAGGGAGCGGCTAGTGGGTGTGTCCGCCTCATTCCCCTCATCAGGGGCGGCTCTCCTGGTGTGCGTGTCAGTGGCAAAGGACATTCTCAGCTTCTCCATGCCGGGTGAGTGAGAGTACTTTGAGTGAGGGAGGTGAGTGGGCAATAACAGGTGGGAGGAATGGGGCGTTGCTGCTGCTGCTGCTGCTGCTGTTAGAGCTAAATTCAAGTCCCGTTTGGAGCTGAGATGCCAAGTTGCCTTAACCCCCACTGTTTTCCCCTACTCCCCGACCCCACCCTTCTAATCCCCACACTCGTGCCGTACGCATGGCAGGCCAGACCACGTTTGTGGCAACGCTGTCGTACATAATCAAGCAGATAGCAGCAGGCACTGAGTTGCCTCGCCCCACCGTTCTCCTCTCCTCTTCTACTGTTCCCCCCACTCCCTTCTGATCCCCACCCACACCCATGTCACACCCATGTCACACCCATGTCACACCCATGTCACACCCATGTCACACCCATGTCACACCCATGTCATACCCATGTCACACCCATGTCACACCCATGCCACACCCATGCCACACCCATGCCACACCCATGCCACACCCATGCCACACCCATGCCACACCCATGCCACACCCATGCCACACCCATGCCACACCCATGCCACACCCATGCCACACCCATGCCACACCCATGCCACACCCATGCCACACCCATGTCACACCTATGCCACACCCATGCCACACCCATGCCACACCCATGTCACACCCATGTCACACCCATGTCACACCCATGTCACACCCATGCCATACGCACACGCCAGGCCAGACCACATTTGTGGCGGCGCTGTCGCACATAATCAAGCAGATCATGGCGGGCACAGAGTTGCCCCACCCCACCGTTCTCCTCTCCTCTTTTACCCTTCCCCATCCCACGGCAGGCCAGACAACGTTTGTGGCGGCGCTGTCGCACATAATCAAGCAGATCATGGCGGGGAAGGCGCACTGGGAGCCCATGGCGCTGGGGGGAGGCGCGCTGCTGCTGCTGCTGCTCATGAAGGAGGCAGGAAAAAGCTGGAAATCGCTGCAGGTGCTGCGGTGTGCAGGGCCCTTCACCAGCATCGTGCTTGGAGCCCTGGTCGTCAAGTTCTGGCATCCCCCCCACGTACCTGTGGTGAGCTTCGGGTGTGGGGTTGTGGTGTCCTGTGGTGTGGGAGCTGATATGCGCCGGTCCCTTCACCAGCATCGTGCTCGGTGCCCTGGTCGTCAAATTCTGGCGTCCCCCCCACGTGCCTGTGGTGAGCTTCGGGTGTGGGGTTGTGGGTTTAGGGGGGGAAGGTGTGGCAACCTGAGGTGTGGGAGCTGATATGCGCCAGCCCCTTCACCAGCATCGTGCTCGCTGCCCTGGTGGTGAAGCTCTTGCACCCCCAGCATGTGCCCGTGGTGAGTAATTTAGAAGGGTTACGGGGCAAGATCCCCACTTCCCTTCCCATTCTCCATCCCCACTTCCCATCCCCACTTCCCATCCCCACTTCCCTTCCCATTCTCCATCCCCGCTTCCCATCCCCACTTCCCTTCCATCACAGGTCGGCGAGATCCCCCAGGGTCTGCCCTCTCTCTCCACGGCCTTCCCCTGGGAGTACTTCCCCAAGCTGCTGCCAACAGCGCTGGTCATCACAGGAGTGGCCATCCTGGAGTCGTGTGGAATAGCCAAGGCGCTGGCAGCGCGCAACGGGTACGCCATCGATGCCAACCAGGAGCTCTTCGGGCTCGGCATGGCCAACGTGCTCGGCTCCTTCTTCTCCTCCTTCCCCACCACCGGTGAGCTCAGCCCCCTTGTCCTTACCATAGTCCGTTCCCTCTGCAGTCCTTCCCCATACAGAGCCATTCGTCATGACAGCCCCCAGAGGGTTGCCTCGGCATGGCCAACGTGCTCGGCTCCTTCTTCCCCACCACTGGTGAGTGAAGTCCTTCCATCCCCACCACTGGTGAGTGAAGTCCTTCCATCCCCACCACTGGTGAGTGAAGTCCTTCCATCCCCACCACTGGTGAGTGAAGTCCTTCCATCCCCACCACTGGTGAGTGAAGTCCTTCCATCCCCACCACTGGTGAGTGAAGTCCTTCCATCCCCACCACTGGTGAGTGAAGTCCTTCCATCCCCACCACTGGTGAGTGAAGTCCTTCCATCCCCACCACTGGTGAGTGAAGTCCTTCCATCCCCACCACTGGTGAGTGAAGTCCTTCCATCCCCACCACTGGTGAGTGAAGTCCTTCCATCCCCACCACTGGTGAGTGAAGTCCTTCCATCCCCACCACTGGTGAGTGAAGTCCTTCCATCCCCACCACTGGTGAGTGAAGTCCTTCCATCCCCACCACTGGTGAGTGAAGTCCTTCCATCCCCACCACTGGTGAGTGAAGTCCTTCCATCCCCACCACTGGTGAGTGAAGTCCTTCCATCCCCACCACTGGTGAGTGAAGTCCTTCCATCCCCACCACTGGTGAGTGAAGTCCTTCCATCCCCACCACTGGTGAGTGAAGTCCTTCCATCCCCACCACTGGTGAGTGAAGTCCTTCCATCCCCACCACTGGTGAGTGAAGTCCTTCCATCCCCACCACTGGTGAGTGAAGTCCTTCCATCCCCACCACTGGTGAGTGAAGTCCTTCCATCCCCACCACTGGTGAGTGAAGTCCTTCCATCCCCACCACTGGTGAGTGAAGTCCTTCCATCCCCACCACTGGTGAGTGAAGTCCTTCCATCCCCACCACTGGTGAGTGAAGTCCTTCCATCCCCACCACTGGTGAGTGAAGTCCTTCCATCCCCACCACTGGTGAGTGAAGTCCTTCCATCCCCACCACTGGTGAGTGAAGTCCTTCCATCCCCACCACTGGTGAGTGAAGTCCTTCCATCCCCACCACTGGTGAGTGAAGTCCTTCCATCCCCACCACTGGTGAGTGAAGTCCTTCCATCCCCACCACTGGTGAGTGAAGTCCTTCCATCCCCACCACTGGTGAGTGAAGTCCTTCCATCCCCACCACTGGTGAGTGAAGTCCTTCCATCCCCACCACTGGTGAGTGAAGTCCTTCCATCCCCACCACTGGTGAGTGAAGTCCTTCCATCCCCACCACTGGTGAGTGAAGTCCTTCCATCCCCACCACTGGTGAGTGAAGTCCTTCCATCCCCACCACTGGTGAGTGAAGTCCTTCCATCCCCACCACTGGTGAGTGAAGTCCTTCCATCCCCACCACTGGTGAGTGAAGTCCTTCCGTCCCCACCACCGTTGAGCTCTGCCGGCACGAGTTGTTCCCCCTGCCACCATAGCCCTCCCTTCCCCTTCCCTAGGACAGCCTTTCACCCTTTGCACACCCGATCACCTCCTTACCCACTTCCCCTCTGCGCCCCTTCCCCCACCTTCCCCCACATGCCCATGCCCCCTCTCTGCAGGCTCCTTCTCCCGATCAGCAGTGGACGAGGTGGGGGCGCGTACGGCACTGAGTGGGCTCATCATGGCTCATCTTTCCGCCTCTCCTCTCTGCCTCCTCTGTCATACCCTCACTGCCTTTCTCCCATCACCGCAGGCTCGTTCTCTCGATCAGCAGTGAACAATGAGGTGGGAGCGCGCACAGCACTGAGTGGGCTCATTATGGCGCTCATGGTCGTCGCCACGCTGCTCTTCCTCACTCCAGCCTTCAGAGACGTGCCGCAGGTGCGTATGGGTGGCTTGTGAGTCGATTGAAAGGTCAGTCATTGTCCTTCCGAGGCACTGAGTGGGCTCATCATGGCGCTCATGGTCGTCGCCACGCTGCTCTTCCTCACTCCAGCCTTCAGAGACGTGCCGCAGGTGCATATGGGTGCCTTTAGCGTCAACTTGAGACAACAAAAACCTCCTTGAGTACAGCGGGTAGTGTGTGGATGAGCTGAAAGGGCAGTCAGGCATATGGTCCATACTACACATCGCATGGCAGTGACTTTTGAGAATTCTCATGTGACTTTTGAGAATTCTCATGTGACTTTTGAGGATTCTCATGTGACTTTTGAGAATTATCATGTGACTTTTGAGAATTCTCATGTGACTTTTGAGAATTCTCATGTGACTTTAGAGAATTCTCAAAAGGGCAGTCAGGCATATGGTCCATACCACACGTCGCACGGCACGGAGTGGGTGGGCTCATCATGGCGCTCATGGTCGTGCCCACGCTGCTCTTCCTCACACCGGCTTTCAAGGACGTGCCGCACGTGCGTATAAGTGGCTCGTGGGTGGCTTCCTCTCTCCAGCCTTCTCAGACGTTTCTTCGCTACGCACATACATCTGGATCGCAGTGCGGTCCATAATTCAATGGAGCCCCAGGTTGGACACCTACTTTCTACTTTTTAACTAAAAACAAGTCGCTGCCACGTAAAGACATGGCTCCAACCTGGGGCTCCATTTGTCTTTGCTACGCACATACATCTGGATGGCAGTGCGTTCCGTAGTTCTCCAAGCCCCTTCTACCCCTGCCCCTCCTCGCTCGCCTCCTGCTGCCCATCCAACCCCTTCCCCCCAGTGAGTGCTGGTAGCCTGCAGGCTGGTCGACCTACAGGACCACCTCTTCCTGTGGCGGGCATTCACCAACGCCCACCTCCCGCTGCGCCTGCCCCCTGCCTCCCTGTCCCATCACAGTGTGTGCTGGCAGCAGTGGTGGTGAATGCAGTGCACGGCTTGGTGGACCTACAGGAGCCGCTCTTCCTGTGGCGCGTGGAGAAGAAGGACCTCGTTCTCTGGTTCTGCGCCTTCCTGGGCACACTGCTGCTGGGACTGGAGACTGGCGTTCTCATCTCGGTATGTTGGTGTAACAGTTGGAGTGATGTCTGAAGGTTGGTGTGAGGCAGGAGCCGCTCTTCCTGTGGCGCGTGGAGAAGAAGGACCTCGTTCTCTGGCTCTGCACATTCTTGGGAACGCTACTCATTGGACTGTAGACTGGTGTTCTCATCCCGGTACGTTGGTGCATTGCGAAATGCAGGGAGGTGAGAAGTGTAGGTGAGCAACCTTTCTCTTTTACTGGAGACTGGTGTGCTCATTCCCCCCTTCCCCCTACCCTCTCTCCCTCCATTTTTCCTCCTCCCCTCTCCCATGGCAGGTGGCGCTCTCCCTCGTTTTTGTCATTCATGAGTCTGCCAATCCGCACATGGGTAAGTCCCTCATGCGCCCTTGCCATCCCTCGTCTTTGCCATCTTCCCCCAGCCCAAATACGAAGACGTACAGACACATGATTGCCACTGATTTCCCTGATGCCTGCATGTCCCCTTCACCTCCCGTACACCACCACTCCCCCTTGTTACTCTCCCAGTCGCCATGGTATACTGCAATGTGAAGCAGTACCGAGTTGACTTTTGAGTCGACTCAAAAGCCACCACGGTATACTGCAATGTGAAGCAGTACCGAGTTGACTTTTGAGTCGACTCAAAAGCCACCACGGTATACTGCAATGTGAAGCAGTACCGAGTTGACTTTTGAGTCGACTCAAAAGCCACCACGGTATACTGCAATGTGAAGCAGTACTGGGACGCAACACATCACACACCTGCGCCCCTCGTTTCCCTTACTGTATTTTTCATTGCTTACTTTATTTTTCGTTGCTTGCTGTATTTCTCGTTGCTCACTGTATTTCTCGTTGCTTACTGTATTTCTCGTTGCTCACTGTATTTCTCGTTGCTTTCCCTCCCATCTCTGCCCCTCCACCCCTCTGCCCCTTCTGCACCCACTCCCTCTCCCTCTCCCTCTCAGCCGTGCTGGGTCGCCTCCCAGGCACCACGGTCTACCGCAACGTGAAGCAGTACCGCGATGCATACACGTACAGGGGCGTGGTCATCTGATGTGCCTCCACCCCTCTCCACCCCTCTCTGCCCCTCCCTCTCCCTCTCAGCCGTGCTGGGTCGCCTCCCAGGCACCACGGTCTACCGCAACGTGAAGCAGTACCGCGATGCATACACGTACAGGGGCGTGGTCATCTGATGTGCCTCCACCCCTCTCCACCCCTCTCTGCCCCTCCCTCTCCCTCTCAGCCGTGCTGGGTCGCCTCCCAGGCACCACGGTCTACCGCAACGTGAAGCAGTACCGCGATGCATACACGTACAGGGGCGTGGTCATCTGATGTGCCTCCACCCCTCTCCACCCCTCTCTGCCCCTCCCTCTCCCTCTCAGCCGTGCTGGGTCGCCTCCCAGGCACCACGGTCTACCGCAACGTGAAGCAGTACCGCGATGCATACACGTACAGGGGCGTGGTCATTCTGCGCATCGACTCACCCATCTATTTTGCCAACGTGGACTATATCAAAGAGAGGTGCGCTGTAGGTGCGCCTGGGTAGGTGCGGTGCAGCAACAGGCGAAATATAGCAGAAGCTCCAGTGCTCAGTTCAACTGAGTTTACTTTTGAGTCGACTCAAAAGTCAACTCGATATAGCAGAAGCTCCGGTGCTCAGTTCAAATGGTAACTGCTAAGGCTGCGCAAGTACGAGCTGCAGAGGGTGGTGTGGTGGAAGGGGAGGTCAGCAGAAGCAGCAGTAGCAGAGTGCTGTTTGTCATATCAACGCCGCCTCTCCACCTTGCCTGCTTTCCATGTGCTTGTGCTCCTCCCCTCTCACCTCAGGCTGCGCAAGTACGGGCTGCAGAGGGTGGCATGGTGGAAAGACGGTAGCAGAGTGACTGCTTCACATGTCACCTTTAACCCCTGTGTCTCTGCCCTCTCTCCCCTCCCCCCTTCCCCATACCACGGCAGGCTGCGCAAGTACGAGCTGCAGAGGGTGGCGTGGTGGAAGAGAAGGATGGCAGCAGGCAGAGTGACTGCTTCACATGTCACCTTTAACCCCTGTGTCTCTGCCGTCTCTCCCCTCCCCTCTTCCCCATTCCCCATTCCACCGCAGGCTACGCAAGTACGAGCTGCAGAGGGTGGCGTGGTGGAAGGACGGCAGCAGCGGCAGCAGCGGAGGAAGGCTGGCAGGCAGCAACGGGGGAGCCAACAGAATGGCTGTCATGGACCTGCGCTTTCTCATACTCGAGATGTCCCGTGAGTGTGTCTTTCTGTCCTCTTCCTCTATAGTCAGCTGTCCTAAGGGTTTGTTGGACCCTTCTTTGTCCTTCGTCTTGAGTAAAAAAAAAAAAAAACATATGAATGCTCATCATTATTTTCATCCCTTGTCCTTCTACCCCCCTCCTGCAGCCGTTACTTATATCGATTCCACGGCCGTGCACGCCCTCAAGGAGCTCTATAACGAGTACAAGGCACGGGACATCCAGCTGTGCTTCTCCAACCCCTCGCCCAAAGTCATGCTCACCATGGCCCGAGCCGGTTTCCCTGATCTGATCGGCCGCCAGTGGTACTTTGTGCGGATCCACGACGCCGTTCAGGTGAGCTTGCTAAAGAGAGAAGAAGGGGAGGGGGGGAAGGGGCTATGTTTGACCCTTGCCCTAATTTGTCTTGTGCTGCTGAAATCCACCATTGAAACCCCTTATCGCTTCTGTTCACCTGGCCTCAGTAGTACCCTCTTCTTTCCTCTGCCCCCGCTGCTCCCACCAGGTGTGCCTTGCACTGCTGGAAGATACAGAGATCACCATCGAAACCCCTTCGCGCTACCAGCGAGCTGACTCCTCTGCAGTCAGAGCAACTTCCGCTCAGGCAGGTGGGAGCCGGCAGCAGCAACCGCAGCAGCAGCAGCGGCAGGGGGGAGTGCGAGAGGAGCGACCACACACCCCGTCACGGCATCATTCAGAGCCTCAGCAGCAGCAGGGACAACAGCAGAAGGAGGAGGGGGGAGATGAGCCGAGGGTGATTTTGCAACAGGAGCAGCTGCAACTGCAGCAACGGCACCAGCAGCAGCTGCAGCAGCTGTTGTATCAGCAGCAGCAGCAGCTGCAGCTACAGCAGCAGCAGATGCAGCAGCAGCTGCAGATGCTGCACCAACTCATCCTCCCACCTCACCACCAACAGCAGCAAGGGCAACCCCAATCACCTGAGCAAACACCTGTGTGGGAAATCCAGCCCCAGGTGACTCAGCAGGTTTCTCCCACGCCAGGCCTCACCCTCTCTCCGCACCTGTCCGCCAGCTTTGTGAATCTCGCCCAAGCTGCCCAACGAGCCAGCAGCTCAAACTCTGAAGGTGGGTTGAGTACGGTTGGGGAGGATATCCAGTCCATGTCAGGTGAGTCAGAGGAGAGTATGGGTGCGAGGCGGAGGAAGAAGCAGAGTGTGGCGACAGCAGCTGCCGATGCAGCAGATGCTGCAGAGGATGCTGCGTTCTTTGAAGGGAGGATGAGCAGTGGGACAACTGTGGGGGACCTTGCGAGTAGCTTGTCTCCCTTCTTGGAGACTGAAGGGACATTCCAAGGGCTTGATTGATGTGATAAAAGCAAGCGTCATATGGTATGGGATTCTTTGTTATTTCAATTAGATTCTCAAAACGTTCAAGCAATTAGTTCGAAGTATGGCTCAAAAACAAAGTAGCATCTGTGATCACTTAGGAATTTTTGGGTTACGAAGCAACCTAATACGATTGTTATGTACACTTTTTTTCTCATCCTCTACTCTTAAAAAGAATGAAGGATGAAAAAAATATAATGAAGAGTAGCTGTAAGTAACTGACTTCTATGTATTTGCCACATCAATTTACCTTGTGCCGAACCACATTCCTTCTCTTTCCTAGCTTGTCTTCCTTCTCTTTTATGTCAAAAGGCTAGGAAGGCTTAGGAGCCATAGCTAGTGAGGTAGGAGAAATTGAGTTCGGGTGAGTTTAGGAAAGTCGAGAGGAATGACTAAGGAATGGAAGTGATACAAATATGCAACCCTAGGAATGTGTACCCCATATAGGCTACCCCACTATAGCCTACACAATATTATAATTTGACACACCCCCATAGGCAAAGTGGGGGAGAACAAGGGGTCACAAGACCAGTCAAGCAAAACAAACAAAGCTCAGGGTGGATCACATCGTCACCACACGGTCCGAGCACAAGGTCAAGGCCACAAGGCCAGTTCACATGCAGGAGTACACACACATGTATATATATATTTATATAAGGCTAAACAAGCAAGAGCAGGTATATATATATGTAAGAGTACAAACAAGGTCAAGGGGTGAGCAAGTGAGGCAAGACAGGCACAAGACCCAGCTGAGTGCAGAAGCGCTGATGATCACAAGGCGGAAATGCCTTGGTGAAAACATCAGCAGTGTTGGCCTCAGAGGCCACGTACGCAAGTCGCAACAGACCACGCTGCTGCAACTCACGAGCAAGAAAGTAGCGGAGAGCAATGTGCTTCGTTCTGTGCTCCAGGCGCTGCTCCCGACACAAGGCCAGCATGGCCTTGTTGTCTACGTACACCACTGGAGGAGAACGAGGCGGCTCTCCGAGGTCAGTCAGCAGGTAGGTGAGCCACCGAAGCTCCTGTGCAGCCATGGCCCCGGCGTAGATCTCAGCCTCACAACTGGAGCCGAGAACAGAAGACGAGCGAGTAGCCCGCCACGAAACAGAGCCGGAACCAAGACTGAAGGTGTAACCCTGTGACGACCGCTGCGTAGCCTGGTCGTCAGCCCAAGAAGCGTCCGCATGCCCAGTGAGGACCACTGGACTCCGCCCTCCAAGCACTAGCCCCATGCCCGACGTACTGCACATGTAGCGCAACACCCTCTTCGCTGCAGCCATGTGCTCTGGTCTGTGTCTCCCAGGAGCAACATAGCGTGCAAGAATGCTAAGAGGGTATGCAAGGTCAGGTCGTGTGCAGGTCATCAGGTACATGAGGCAGCCAACAAGCTCTGGGTACGGGCCACTCGACTCTACGGACTCATCCGAAGGCAGAGCTGAGAGCGAGTGGCGAGTAGACAGAGGAGTGGCCTGAGGCGAAGAGTACGTGAAGCCGAAGCGCTGAAGGACCTGCTGCACCATGTGTGACTGAGTCAGGGTAATGGTGCGGCGCGCTCTGTCCAGGGTGATCTGCAAGCCAAGGTAGCTGCGCAGTTCACCCAGGTCTGTGCACGTGTGTCTCTTCTGCAGTTCGGACTTCACGTAGGCGAGTCCAGCAGTGTCAGCTGTGGCAAAGACCAAGTCGTCGACGTACACAAGGATGTAGAACGGCGGCAAAGAGGTGTCGGTGCGCAGAAACAACGACGGGTCAGCAGTAGAGGGAGCAAACCTAAGAGCCGCAAGCGTAGTCCTCAATGTGTCGTGCCACTCGCGCGGTGCCTGGCGGAGACCGTAGACTGGCCGTCGGAGGCTCCATTGGGTGCCAGGAGGGAAAGTCCCAGTGAAGCCAGGTGGACGGCGCAGCGAGATCTCCTCGTGCAGGCTGCCCTGCAGGAAAGCAGTGTTGAAGTCAAGGGAGTGAAGCTCGTAGTCACGCTGAGCGGCTATGTGTAGCAGCACCCGAAGAGTGGTCATCTTCGAGGTGGGAGAAAAGGTCTAAAAGTAGTCAACTCCCTGCCGCTGACTAAAGCCACGAGCCACGTACCGCGCCTTGAAGACAGGCGGAGAGCCCGGCGGCCGCTTCACCCTGAAGATCCACATGCCACTGACGATGTTCGCCCCAGGAGGAGGAACCGCGTCAACGTAGGTGCCTGTGGACTTCCAGGAAGCCATCTCTGCATCCATAGCTGCCTGCCACTGAGAGGAGTAGGAACCCTCTACGGCCTCCGCGTAAGAGCGCGGAGTCGGGATGTCTAGTGCATCCGGGTCTCCCTCAGGGGTAAGCAGTACGGACGCAAGATGAGGTGAAGCAGCAGCCAGACACTGGAACGTCCGTGCCAAGAGCACACTCACCCCCGACGGACGGAGGACAGACAAACGCAGACTCAGCAATAAGACTAGCAGCGTAGTCTAGACGACAGCGAGCAGCAAAGTCGACGAGCTCAGCAACAAGAGCCGACGCAGCAGTGGACTCAAAAGAGGGGTCAGTGACAACAGTAGCAAGGAGACGCGTGACGGTAGGACTGGCAGCACGAAGAGAGTCTGACTCCGGGTCCGCAAGCGCAGGAAGAGAGGATTCAGGAGGAGAAGGCAAAGTGACACGCAGAGGAGCAGTGGACGGACGCAGAGACATCCGGTGCGTGCCAGGGACAGGAGGAGGACGCTGACGCGAACCGCGACCACTAGCGCGAGCAGCACGAACAGGCGACGCGGGACGAGACGCAGGCTCACGACACTCAGCAAGACCTCCAGTAGGACCAGTGTAAGGAGAGGGAGCAGGCACTTGGGAGGCGGGCGGTAACTGTGACTGTGACTAGACAAGCGGTAGACACTCTTAGAGAGGAGGAAGACCAAGAACCTGCTGAAGGAGCGGAACAAAGTACAGCCGAGGCCGCGCGGCGACTCCAGACACAGCAGGGACAGTACCAGCACCCTCAGCGGCAGCACCAGCGCCAACAGCACCTCCAGCTGCAGGACCTCCAGCAGTACCAGCAGCACCCGCAGGGAGACGGGTGACTATATAATAGAGAGTGATGTACATGGGGGGGGGGGTTCTTGGCGCAGAACTCAGCAGGAAGCGCAGCGCGCTAGCGAGTGTCATTAGTGCGGAGGTGCGTAATGAGGTCAGCGACTGTGGGAAAGGCAGCAAGGTCAGGAAAGAGGTACGGTAGCATGAGGCGGCTCAGTGTAGCAGTGGCAAGGGAAGAGTAGCGTGCAACTACAGCGTCGTACAAGGTTTGAGCACTCTTGTACTTACTAAAGTGTGCGCGCTCAGTGGTAGGCAGGTGGCGACGCACAGCAAGACGTGCAGCAGCATCGCGCATGGCCCACTGGGAGCGAACAGTGGGGTCAGCATCAGCAGTAGGGGCAGGAGAGGAGCCGGAGGTGAGGTCAAAGAGGGAGAGACCGTCTGCCCTATCGCACTGTAGGAAAAGCTGCAGGTCATCTACCCAAACCTCAAAGTCAATGGCTCGACCCTCAGCGTCAAAAGCGAGAATACTGGGGTAAGCCATGACAGCAGTAGACTAGTAGTACCAACTGTAGGACAGGGGCAGTTCAGTGACAGAAGCGCTGCTCTCACCAGACACGGCGGGTCGGGCAGCTCAGCAGTACAGCAGCATGGCAACACGGCTGCTCGGACGGCACAGCAGCAACTGCAGCTCCGTGGCACCAGCGGCTCGGCTCCTCAGGCGGCTCGGGCGGCTCAGGCAGCTCGGGTGGCTCGGGCGGCTCGGGCGGCTCGGGCTGGTCGGGCGGCTCGGGCGGCTCGGGAGAGTCGGGCGGCTCGGGCGGCTCGGGCAGGTCGGGCGGCTTGGGCGGCTCGGGCGGTTCGGGCGGCTCGGGCGGCGCGGGCGGTGTAGGGGGGTAGGGCCGCTGGTGAAAGGGGCGGCGGGGCCGCAGTGAAGGGGCGGCAGGGCCGCTGGTAAAGGGCGGCGGGGCCGCTGAGAAGGGCGGCAGGGCCCCTGAGTATTGCGGCGGGGCCGCTGAGAAGGGCGGCGGGGCCGTAGTAGAAGGGCGGCGGGGCCGCTGAGTAGGGCGGCGGGGCCGCAGCGAGAGAGGCGGCGGGGCCGCAGTCAAGGGCGGCGGGGCCGCTGAGTAGGGCGGCGGGGCCGCAGCAAGAGAGGCGGCGGGGCCAAAGTGAAGGGCGGCGGAGCCGCTTAGTAGGGCGGCGGGGCCGCAGCGAGAGAGGCGGCGGGGCCGCAGTGAAGGGCGGCGGGGCCGCCGAGACGGGCGGCGGGGCCGCTGAGACGGGCGGCGCGGCCGCTGAGACGGACGGCGGGGCCGCTGAGACGGGCGGCAGGGCTGTAGCGAAGGGCAGCGGGGCCGCAGCGAAGGGCGGCGAGGCCGCGAAGAAGGGCGGCGGGGCCGCTGAGACGGGCGGCAGGGCCGCAGCGAACAGCGGCAGGGCCGCAGCGAGGGGCGGCGCGGCCGCAGCGAAGGGCGGCCGCGCCGCGAAGAAGGGCGGTAGGGCCGCAATGTGGGGCGGCGGGGCCACAGCGAAGGGTGGCGGGGCCGCTGAGAAGGGCGGCGGGGCCGCTGAGAAGGGCTACTCGAAGAGGTGAGAGCCCGGAGCGCGACTCGGGCTGAGCGCGCTTCGGGCAGGAAAAAAAAAAGATCGATGTGGTGGGCCCTAGGCACAGTTCCCACGGGGGAACCTGCTCGATACCATGTCAAAAGGCTAGGAAGACTTAGGAGCCATAGCTAGTGAGGTAGGAGAAATTGAGTTCGAGTGAGTTTAGGAAAGTCGAGAGGAATGACTAAGGAATGGAAGTGATACATGTCAAATTATAATATTGTGTAGGCAATAGAGGGGTAGCCCATATGGGGTACACATTTCTAGGGTTGCATATTTGTATCACTTCCATTCCTTAGTCAATCATTCTCGTTCACATTTTCTCATGGTATCGAGCAGGTTCCCCCGTGGGAACTTTGCCTAGGGCC